AATTATCAACACACTAAGACACCTTCCGGAAGTATACCCTAACTATGCCCGAACTCAGAGGCTATCATCTGTGGGCACATTGTGATCGGTACCCGCAGTACCATTCTGACCACCCTCCACACAGAGTAGGATTACTGGCGCCCTTCATCACTCATACTGGAGTACCCCTCCGAGCGCGCCACCAGTCATCCCCCCATCGACTTCTCACCACCTGATCTCGTAGTCTACCTGACCCGACCAATCAGTGAAGTCTGGGACCTCATTCAGAATCCTCCGACATAGTTATTACACTAATGTACTCTGTACCACCCCGGGTACCATTCAAACATACAAAATTTATTCACATTTGCCGGATTCTGGACCACCTGTCCTCACGGCTCATTCGGGTCAATAAATTAGTATTTGACTGATTCTGGCACCAACCTTCTGGCTCAGTCTAGCCAATATATAATGTCTCAGGACTGATTCTGGGCATCAGCCCTCAGGCTTAGTCTGACCCACACACGTCACAACACTCTACTTTCATTCTCTCTCTCTTTATATATATATATATATATTTTTCCTAAAATCATTTCCGAAATCATTAAATTACTATTTTGCCCTTGATCTTTTAAAAAAATCCCCACCATATCCCTTTCTTCTTCCTTCGCTCGCTCAAGCGAGTACACCGGTCGCTTGAGCGAGATGGAACCCGAGAGTCCCCTTTGTTTGAAGGCTTCGTCGCTCAAGCGAGTACACTGGTCGCTTGAGCGAGACATGACCCGAGAGTCCCATTTGTTTGAGGCTTCGTCGCTCAAGCGAGTACACCGGTCGCTTGAGCGAGACATGACCCGAGAGTCCCTTGTGTTTGAAGGCTTCGTCGCTCAAGCGAGTACACCGGTCGCTTGAGCGAGACATGACCCGAGAGTCCCCTGTGTTTGAAGGCTTCGTCGCTCAAGCGAGTACACCGGTCGCTTGAGCGAGACATGACCGGAGAGTCACCTTTGTTTGAAGACTTCGTCGCTCCAGCGAGTACACCAGTCACTTGAGCAATAAAGGACCCGAGAATCCCAAATTTTCCAGGTATTCTCGCTCAAGCGACGTGTTTTTCGCTTGAGCGAATTTTGCAGATTTTCCAGTCCGCCATTTTCAAAATCCAGATTTCAAATTTCTCATTTTCAATCACCCAAATTAGTTCCAAATCAAAATTTAACCATAAACATGTTCAATTTAAGTTAGAAACAACAATTTTAGTATATAATGCATTCTTAATTTCAAGAATTTCAAAAAAACTTTCAAACGGTGAACAGTTCATCAAAATCAGAAATTCTTCAAAATTAGACATTCTTCAAAATAAGACATTCCAATAATTCATATCTCTACTCCTATTCCTTATTCACAGAGTACCCAACAATTCAATTTCATATACTGAATGAATTAAACTTCCCCTTACTTGGTATGATATTTCTACCGAAGTTTTCCCACTTAATTCAAGTTCTCTCCCGTTTCACCAGATCCTGCACGAGTAGAGTCTCGTTACTTGAAACTTAGACAATAGAGGAAGAAGGATGAGAGGAAAATTTTTGATTTCCCTCCTCCCCCGCTTCAGTATTCATATATAAGAAAATTTTTACGAGGAAAACTTCGTTACGAAGTTTTCTTGCACAAGTAATATTAATATAATATTAAAATAAGGCATACGTCACACTAATAATAATTCAAAAACTATGAAGAAATAAATAATTTTTATAAAAAAAATGCTATAAATAAGTAAATTTTTTAATAAATAATTAAATTATTGTAGTGATTAGCATAGCAGGGACAGCGTGTCCCAAGTTTAATTTTAAAGGCACAGACTTTATATACCTTATCATGAATAAACATGGCAACTTGTGGACGGGTTTTAAATATGATTCCTGGTTTTTTTAACCATCTTCAATCTCTATCGGAATTTATCTCTCTTCCAGATGGGTTTTAAGTTTTTTTACCTCTGCTTGATATTATTTTAACAAAAATATTTATATTTATAATAAATAATTTTATTATTTTTATGTATTTTTATACATAAATAAATATTTATAATTTATAATTATTATTAATTAAATATATATTTTAATTTATTATATTTATATTAAAATATGTATGTAAAAGAAATATATAATATTTTTTATTTATACATATATAAAATATTTATAACATTATTATTATAACAATATATTCAAATATTTGAATATTTATAATAATAATAATATTATTATTATAATATTATATTTAAATATTTGATTATATATATAAGTTAATTATTTTTTTTAAGTTGTCATTAAAAATAAGAAATATATAATTTATAAGAAAATATTTAATAAGTTAATTCTTATTTAATTAGTTCAAAATAATACAAATTTAAATTATTAATTTTTTTAATATTTAAAATATAATTATTTTATTAAGATATTTACTGGATAATAAGATTTATGTGACATAATAAAATTTAATAAATATAAATTATAAATAAAATAATATTAGTTACTACTAAGATTTATGTAAAATATTTTGAAAAAGATAAAGAAAAAGAAAAAAATTAACTTTGTGTTCATCAAATTGATTGAAAATATTGAAAAAAAATAAATTGATTGGAGAGATTAAATATGACATAATAAAACCTAATAAATATAAATTATAAATAAAATAATATTAGTTACTACTAAGATTTATGTAAAATATTTAGAAAAAAAGTTAGCTTTATGTTCATCAAATTGGTTGAAAAGATTGAAAAAAAAAACAAATTGATTAAAAAGATTAAGAAAATATGAAAAACTGAAAGGTAAGAGAAAGAAAATAATGTAATAAACTAATTGATATAAAAGATTAAAAAAGACAAAATAAATAAAAAGTGAGTAGAAGAAAAATAAAGATGGTAAAATATAAAAAAATGACCTTTTATGTAATATAAAAAAAGGTAATACTTTTTAAATATTAATATTTTAAAATTTAAATTTAAATATAAAGTCGAGTCCGAACTTTTAAAAAGGTGGGGATTGCATTACTCATTCCCGTCCATGCGCAGACTTTTAAAGCGAGAAAAACCCAAACCCGATCCTCGTTCCCGAGTCAACTCAGTTTTTTCCGTCAAACTTGGGACGGAACGGATCGATCCTCACAAATACAGGTTTAATTATCATCCCTAGGCATGTAATAAACATAATATTTTTTATAGAATTTTAATTTATAAAAAATAAAATAAAATATAGTAATAATTCTTCTTTAAAAGAAAATCTAACTTATTTTTTTATTTGATAAATTTAATTTTTAATTTTATAAATTTTTAAATTTATTTTCTATTTTTATTTTGGATTAAGAGATTCATGTTATTAGATTACAATCTTTTTTAATAATTATTGATTTTAAATTAAATTAAATTAAAAAAGTATTAAAATCTAAAATTAATAATACGATATTAAATAAAATTAAACATTAAAAATAAATAAAAATATAGAAAAAAATAAAAAATGAATTGATCTAAAAAAATGTGAAAATTTATAAATAACGTATTAATTTAATATTAAAAAAATAAAATTATTCATGTTAGTCCATCTTATTTTACCATTTGGTCCTGATAGATTAGAGTTAAAAACATCCAGTCCATCTCACATTTTTACAATTTGGCCCTCATAAATTAGAAATTAAAAATATGTAACCCACCTCTTAATTTTATGACTTAAAAAATGTGTAACTAATTATACTTAAAAAAATGTAACTTTATTATTTGATTATGTGATAATATATACTTATTCTATTAGCTAGGACCAAATTGTATTCAATATTTTTATTATAGAGATATAATAAAGATAATTTGATTTTTCTTCATAAAAATTATTATTTTAAAAATAAAACTTGATTTAATAGGTTTAATTAATAATTAATTTAGAAATTAATCCATTTTTTTAGATAATCAAATTTTAATTAAAGTGGAAAAATTAATTAAAGTTTTGGATCGAATTAATTTTGATAAAAAAATAATTTTTTTAAATACATATTTTTTATAAAAATACAATAATTTCCAAATTTTTCTTTTTTATTTCAATTAATCATATTAATTTTAAATAATAATTATTTTATTATATTTTTATGTTATTTTAATTATTATTATAATTATTATGACAATTTGTATTTTTTTTTTAAATTAATGAAATTATTTTATTATAAAAATATTATTTATTTATTGAATCATGTTTAAATTTTGGTGAATGATCCAGTTTTAAAAACACTCGTCAAAACTATCTCTTTAACACAATAATTTCTATAAATACAATAATCATCGTAAAATTAATTTAATTATTACATATTTATTCTCTTTAACTAGGTATTTATTTTCACCAGGCAAAAAAAAAAACGAAAAACAAAATAGCCGTTTATTATTTGAACGAAATAAATCACCTCCAGGTTAAGAAATTAATTACTTTAATTTGAAATAAAGTAATTTTTTTATCAAGACATGTACAATTATTCTCGTTTGACAAAAAATAATGATATATTCACACTTTTTTTACATACAACCTCTTGATTATTATTATCATTATTAGATTATTTAATAGAGTTGTTTAGTAGTAAAAAAAAAAAATTATTTGAAGAAGTTCATCCTTGAGTCATATTTTAAAATTGGTTTTAGTTGAATTGGTATTAGAATGGTTTGTTATGTGTGTCATCATGCTCAAATTAATATACCAAGTTGACAGAAAAATTAAAGTATTGGAAGTTTTAAAAATAATTTTGAAGTATAGAGATTAAGTGAGGAAGCAAAATTTAATTAAAATTAATTTAATTTAAAATTAATTTTGTTGTGTTTAAACCAAAGGCAGAAGAATGAAAATGGGGGACTCGAGACGTGAAAAGGAGACACGACATAGACACTTGCCATGGGCGCTATTAAAAATTTCTCTCTGAGCGAATTGCAATCTCACTTTTCCTCATACGTGTGTCTGAGTGTGTGTATATATATATAACGCACACATCACGCACGTAACATGAGGCCACGCAGGGACAGTGAAAGGCGCAGATTTGCTTGGGAATCGCGGGACTCAGCAGAAGGCTCCGAATCGCCGCGTCGAAGGCCGAGACTGTTGGCTCTGATGGCGGGGCAATCGAGGAAATGGATGATTCTAGTGGCCACGATTTGGATTCAGGCCTTCACCGGCACCAATTTCGATTTCTCGCAGTACTCGTCGTCGCTCAAATCCGCACTCAACGTCTCGCAGGTGCAATTGAACTACCTCGCCACCGCCAACGACATGGGGAAGGTTTTCGGCTGGTCCTCCGGCATCGCACTCATGCACCTTCCCCTCTCGCTCGTCTTGTTCATCGCTGCTTCTATGGGATTCCTCGGCTACGGCCTCCAGTGGCTCCTCCTCACCGGAGTCGTCGATTTGCCGTATTTTCTGGTAATTATTCTATTCTTTACTTTAACCTTTTTTTCCTCTTTTAGTGACGTCCATTTTATTTATTATTTATTTATTTATAAATGGTGTGAGTGGTTATTAATTTAATTATTAATTACTTCTGACTTTTCTCAATAATAGTCTTTCATGGCTGGCTACGTACCTAATATACCCTCACAGTGTTGGTTTTTGTTTCTTAGAGAAAAGAAAAATAAAATATTAGTAATTAATACTTTAACAATTTTTCTTTTACACCTTCTATATTTAGTTTAATTGTTATACACCATTGATGATGTTTCATTATAAAAATCAGCAATAAATTTGTCATACATACACGTTAATAATGTAACATTGATATTCAATTATAAATATTTCTTCATATGATTTTATACTATTTAAGGTGTAATTACATTTTTTTCGATTCGAGTATAATTATTTATAAATTTTACCTTTTATTTTTTTTCACATATTTTATTATTTTTCTAATTTCCACTCATTTTATTATCCAAATTTTGTTTTCCGCATTTTATGATAATATATGATTTGTTTTACAGACACGCTCACGTTAAGATGAATTTGAGTGATAAAAATCGTGAAATGATGATAATTGCGTGAGAGAATATATCATTAAGCCTAATATTTGTTATAAAATATAATTAGATGATTTGTGATGTTTGCAAATACATAACTTTTATTCTCTTTTATAATAGGCATAACTATATTTGATTTTAAAAATAATTATTAGCAAATTAATAATTTAGCATATACATGATTTTGTGTGATGATGTGTAAAACTCTTTATTGACTTCTAAAATTCCAATATCTAAATATAACTGTATTTTTTTTTCTTCCAAATTAGTTAGCGAATTCATCTTATCTTGGTGAAAAATTTGTTTCCAATTCTTAAAATCATTGCGTCTTTATTCAAATTCGTTTTGAATATATTGTTATAATTATTATTATTACGAGCAGAGACACAAGCATATTTGTGTCTGTTATTTTTTATTTTAATTTATTGAAATTCAATATATATATATATATATATATATTTAAAAATATACATATTTATTTATGAAATTATAAATTGTATGAGACAGATAAATCGTGAGATGTAGTTTAATATATATATATATATATATATATATATATATATATTATAAATATATACACATAATTAAAGAAATAAAAAATGACATATTTTTTTTTAGATAAAAGATTGAGAAAATCATATGATTAAAAATAGAGAAAAAATATATAATTTGGATATAAATTTTATTTTTTCTTTATTTGATGACAAAAAAAAACAATTAAAAAATATATCATTTATATATTATATATTAATGTGTAAATTGTTATGTTATAAATTATTATTATTATTATTATTATTGAAAAGATATAGTTGTTTGAGAATTTTTTAAAAATATACTCGGTATGTAAACCCTGTCCGAGTATCAAATTGCCGAGTTTGTCGAGACAGTTCTTCTCTGCACTATTGACACTTTTTTGAAAATTACGATAATATGTTTTTTTTTTCTACGATTGAGTGATTATGCTATTGCTATTTTGATTCTGGTTAAATGATCTCTCTAGAAGGTTTAGATGAATTAAAAATATAGAATAGAGTGAATAATATAAGTTTTTATCTGAAGCTAGCAAGTTATTGTTTAGTAAAATGTTGTACTAGGCACCTATATTTGAAATACTGTTGTCGTCAGGTTTTACAGTTTGAAAAAGGATGATATTATATCAAATGCTACATTAATATTATACAGTTCACGGTTTTCAGTGCTCGTAGTCCAATCTCAACTCCATTCATGGCTCTAAAAGCAAAATAAAATAGTTCTTTTAAACAATAGAGCAGCCATGTTCTACACAACAAATTGTGCACAGTTTTATTTCAGTAGTATGTGTACTTTTCCTTAGTAAAGGTTTCTGCTTCTCACCTTACATTTTGAAAAAATTGCCTAGTTAAAACAGCTAACTGACTCATGTAACGAATGTTCTTGTTTCTAATGAGATATTTAGATGATCGTGAGATATTTAATTAAAGGATTAGTTGTTTTAAATAATTTTTTTATTAGAAAAGTTTATATAATATAGTAAATTATTTTTTATGATAGTTTAATTAAATGATTTATTAAAAATAAAATAAATAAAGAAAAAAATAGAAAAAATAATAATATTTTAAAAAATATTTTTATTAAAGTAAAATTATTTATGAATTATTTAAAAATATATGAAACAATAAATTTATATTTTAAAACTTTGATCATAGAACTCATAAGAGTTGGGAGATGTGAATATACCTAACAGTTGTAAAATACTCTCCATAAACTTATAGTTACACATGATTGTCGCGCAACATACGGAGGCATAGAAGTACGATCATGATAGTACTTATGATCAACCTTCACCAGAAAAACCCGAGTGATGATGAATATTTTTTGGATCTATATTCCTTATTCCTGGTAGTTCAATTGAGGGTACGATCCAATGATTTCAAATTTTTAATGAATTAATTTAATACATCTCTTCAAAATGATCCTTCTGCTGATAGCAAAAGTATTGCCGAAAATACCAGGCTCCTTTGACTTTCATTGCGTGAGATGTTATGATTAATCCTAATTTGTTTATTCACAGTTCTGAGATCAATGTTTAAACATGTTGCATGTGGCGAGCTGATAAATTTAATCGTAGCATGGCTCTATTTCACTTAATCATTACCAATCTCTCACTGTATTCCTTATAAAAATATAAATATTTATTTAGTTATCTGATTTAAGCTGGAAGTATCTAAGTCTCCTACTATATAAAAAGACACTTCCATAATTTCTCTGCATCTGCAACGATGTGCTGTATTTCATATAATAAAATTGCTGTAGTTTAAAAGAACACATGTAAGCAGTGAGATTCAGTAAATCTGTGAGTACATATGGTAACTAAACCGAGGCTGACAAGCTCTTAAACATCACTGAATTGTAATATTCAGAGTTTGCTCAATGCCAGTTAACTCCCCTTTAATTTTGATTGGCAGGTCTTTCTTTTGTGCCTTTTAGGTGGCTGTAGCATCTGTTGGTTCAACACAGTATGTTTTGTTCTCTGCATTAGGAATTTCCCAGTTAACCGAGCCCTTGCACTATCACTCACTGTGAGTTTCAATGGCGTCAGTGCAGCGCTCTATACCCTTGCTGCCAATTCTATTGACCCTTCCTCCGATGCAATTTATCTGCTTTTGAATGCTATCGTTCCCCTTCTCATTTGCATCGCAGCACTTATTCCTATTCTTCGCCAACCGACTTTAGACCCTCTCCCTCCTGATGCAGTAAACAGGGACTCGGTTATATTTCTAATGTTGAACTTCCTAGCCCTTTTAACTGGCCTTTATATTCTCCTGTTTGGCACTTCTTCTTCTGGTGTGACTTCTTCTTGGCTCTATTTTGGTGGAGCTATTTTCCTACTCGTCTTCCCATTATGTATTCCTGGCATTGTATATGCTCGGGCTTGGTTTCGGCATACTATTCATTCCAGCTTTCGGATGGAAAGCTCTAGCTTCATTCTTGTTCATGATGATGATCTCGAGATGCATAAAGAACTCCGTGGCCGTAACAGTAGTATTGTTAGCAATGGAGATACTTACAACCTGCTAAGTGACAATGGACACATGTATGATAGTCAGAAGGCAAAAGAGAGTGATGTATGTTGCGAGAGGATGATTGGCCAGGATCAGTTAGCAATGCTAGGAGAAGAGCACCCAGTTGCAGTAATTGTTCGCAGATTGGATTTTTGGCTTTACTATATTACATACTTCTGTGGAGGTACACTTGGTCTAGTCTATAGCAATAATCTGGGACAGATTGCACAATCTCTGGGCCAGAGCTCAAATACTTCTACACTTGTCACGCTCTATGCATCCTTTTCCTTTTTTGGTCGCTTGCTTTCTGCTGGGCCAGACTATATTCGAAAGTAAGTATTCTCTTCAATCTCCAAGCTATTATACTTTTGGATAGCTTTCTATAGCCAAAAATAACTTTTTTTTCCTTTCTTGAATTGGAAGTGAGTCTTGGAGATAAAGTGGTAGCATTTTTATGATGATTATATCTTATGCATTGCAGTAAGCTCTACTTTGCCAGGACTGGTTGGCTTTCAATTGCACTTATACCAACTCCAGTTGCGTTCTTCCTCCTTGCTGCATCAGACAGTCTTCTGGCACTGCAGACAGGCACCGCACTGATTGGATTGAGCTCTGGTTTTATATTCGCAGCTGCTGTGTCAGTTACATCTGAGCTGTTTGGACCTAACAGTGTGGGTGTTAATCACAACATTCTCATAACAAATATTCCTATTGGCTCTCTTCTCTATGGCTTTCTTGCTGCACTAGTTTATGATGCTAATGCTCACTCAATACCAGGAAACTCGATAAAGTCTGACTCAGTAGTGTGCATGGGAAGGGAGTGTTACTTCTGGACCTTTGTCTGGTGGGGATGCATATCTGTCCTTGGACTAGCATCAAGCATCCTATTATTCTTAAGAACCAAGCATGCATATGATCATTTTGAGAAACACCGTATATCAACACAATCAATTGTGTCTTAATTTTTGTTATTAATGGGCCATGAAGATCTTGGTGTGGTTCATTTGTACAGTGGCAGAAGCTTCACTTGTATCAGGATGAGTATGCATATGGTGGTTGAGATTAGAGAAGCAATTAGTTATTCTTGAGGAACACGTGTATGTATTGTCATATCTTCGAGGAGAGCAGTAGATTCAGACAGAAGAGGATAACGATTTTGATTAACTCTTTCACAGTGCACAAAAAACGAGAAAAGATGGGGAAAAGTGGTCTGAGGAACTATGCATCAATGAAACAGAATGACATCTGGCCCTGCCAGAAGTTTTGCCTGCTTTGCAGCCATGATTTGGCTCACACTCAGCAAAGATCTCCTCTGCTTTGCACAAAGTTTTATGTTTAACCTGACAGACCAGCTGTTGAAGCAGGAGCTATGCTTTTAAGCGGAGTTTGATGCATGCTAGATCCAAAGAGGCTACTACTACCATACATTTTTTGGTTACTTTCAACAAAGTAGGCAAGATATTTTAAAGACTATAGTCATTTAATACTTTAAAATCTTTCCTGATTTCCAATGAATATGTGGCTCTAGTGCCAAGTTACTTTAAACCCCTTGATTTCTTTTTCTTCAGTTTTTTCCTTTGTCAAAGAAAAAACAGACATCAGAGGGTTCAATTTTGTATATTGGGAGTCACAAGAAGCAAGCTTCATCTGACTGTATGACCTTGAATGTGAGACTCTTTACTTTTCCCAGGTTCTGTCATGAGACTTCTGATTATTTATCACTCGCAACGGTGGAGGCAGATATAAACTTGTAAAATCTGATTACTCATCATGTTGTACTTCCTAACAGAGACGTATTTGTAAATTTTTCCGCTCATTTCGTCATTTTTATTATGTTCTGAATCATTGGGGTGTTCTTTGTTGAGACAAAAGAGACGAAATGTCAGTTCATTTTTAATTATCAATGAATTGTCATCCGTTTATCCACATATAATGAGACTCAATAATATTAGATTCACAAGAACATGACCATCTAACATAATATATGAAAGTAATTCAAGAAATTATAATAATTTGAAACCTATATCTGATAATTGTTTAAAAATTTGAATATAATTTTATGATACTGAATAGAAGAAAAATGTTAAAAAAAAAAAAAGGTGTAAAAGGAGTGTGTAGCCTATCCTAAGCTTCAAGGATAGGTACAGAATGTGCGATTTTTTATACACAAGAATAACCTCTCATATGCTAATGCCATCTTTCTTGCTGTAAACATTTTGGCAGCATATACCCGGCATGCCTTGCCCCTCCTTGCTAGCCTCTGCGGTCCTTCCGTTACTACTGCTTCCAGTGCCTCCAACAGGGACTCCACATTAGGGGAAAACATGTAACCATATTCATCATCAACCACAATAGTCCCTTGAATGCTTGGAAATCTTGATGCCAAAAGAGGTTTCCCACTCATCATTGCCTCCATCAGTGTAAGGTCAAGCCCTTGTGGTCTGAGTGTGGGATTGACAAAAATGTCAATTGCATTGTAGAACGCTCTTAACATGGATGGACTCATCGATCCCAGAACAAGAACCTGGTCCCCTAAATCCCTGTACCTGTTCCCCCATGGTCCAGAACCAGCAACAACCAAGTACACATCATGGTACTTGGTTATAAGTCTCGAGTAAGCTTCATGAAGCAGAGGATGGCCTTTGTCCTTCACTAATCTTCCAGCAACACCAAGTACCAAACTTGCATTCCCAGGAATACCAATTTTTTTTCTGAATTCCCTTCCCAATTCTACATCTTCTCTAAAGTCATCCTCATCAACACCATTTAGTATTACATGAACTCTTCTTTTAGGAATTTGGTACACATCCCTGAGCATCTCACCACAACTATCACTAATGGCAACATGATGGGCATAATTCCTGAAGAACCTTATCTCAGTCAGCACCTTTGGCACAACACCCTGTATACTTTTGTTGAAAAGAGGGGACATGGGCTCATCTGGCTGGCGAGCCAAGTCCTGGAAAATGCTCGATTGCAAGCTCTCCAGGGCTATGCCATGCCAAGACACTGCAAGGTTTGACATGTTGCGTGCTAGCCAATGAGGGAGTGCCACACTTTCCGAGTGCACAACATCAAATGGTTCTCTCTGGTTTTCTTCCACAAACTGCTCCCATGCCTTGTTATAACGCCACCTGCCAGGCTCACCTTCATGGAAATGGATGTAAGGGGAAGAAGGTCCACCTTCTTGATGGTGGTTTTTGTTTACCTCTGAGGATGAGATTGAAGTGCTTTCATCTTGGGGTGGAGATGTGAAGATATGAACTTGATGGCCACGTCGTGCTAAAGCAGTGTGAAGGGTGTGGGCATGGCGCTCCATGCCACCAGGGGTTGTGCCAATAGGCCACTTCCTGGAGAAGACTGCAATTTTGAGAGCAAAGGGTGGTGGTTTGTGCTCAAAAAATGAGAGGCGGTTCCATGCAAATTCAACCAACTGAAGATCACCCGACCAAGTTTCAGCTTGGGAGGAGGCAAGGGTGTTGCATATGGAGGTGGTGGTTGGGGTATGGAGGAGGAAAAAAACAGGTATGGTGAAGAGGACAACGAAGAAAAGAGTGGTGCAAAAGTAAAAATTTGAAGGTGAATTGGATTTTCTGGACTTGGTGGTGAGGGCCATTTCCTCAGGGAGTTCTGAGGATATGGGCATAGAGGACGCTCAAGTTTCTTGGTTCGGAATTATGTGAATTTTGATGTTTGTAGCGAATGTTAAGGGGAAAGGGAGAGGAAGACTAAGAGGGGTCATTGGGGAGGTAGACACGCACTGAAGCAAGTGGGTGGCGTTTGAGTTTTCCAAAAGTGCGTTCCTCACGCCTTTCTTTGAGGCCATAAAGTGGATTCATGTGTTTGAAAAATATGAAACTGTATTTATCAGCACGCACAATTAGGCCTTCTCCAACATCTGCATAGACTTCACGTTAAGAATCATTGTTAATAAATATCCTGAATTCCTGTTTACGTTTTCTTCTTTTTGTTTTGGAGAGAGAAACTCAATCACTTGTCATTCTTATCCTTTTCTTAAATCAGTTTTATTTAAAACATCTTCCTTTAACGTTAATCTTTAGAGTTATTTGCAAACTTGAACTTGTGCGTGCGTCAAGGGAAATCGTTGATGTTCCAATTAGGCATTGACCCTCCAGAATTTACCACCATGCACATAACCTAACATACAAGTGTGTTCCATCATCATTCACTTGCATTTTCTTTTGTTATAATTAGTAAAACAATAATTGCATAAAATTAAATCTATCCATCTCATGGATATAATATTTATATAATTAGTAAATTAGTAATAGTAGTTGTTGATATACTATATTAGTACAATATTTATTATATATAATAATTATATTAGTATTCTAATGTGGAATAATCTAGTTTTTTAATAAATATATACATTTAATTAATATAATTTAGTATATATGCTTTCATTAAATGTAATTTTGTAATTAAATTTGTTGATGAATCAAATTTTAAATGTATACATAAATAATGTAATAAATAATATTAATGTCAGCAAATAAAGTATTCATCAATGTTAAATCAAATTAAATTACATGAAAATTTATTAATTAAAATCTAATGGCATTCAATTGTTTCTTTACATTTACCTCATTCAAACAAACCTATCGTTATTCCTTTACCTTTTTTTTAGAAATACTTATTTTTGCATCTTGAATAAGAATGCTTAAAAATTAAAAATCAAGATTCGAACCAAATATAAGATAAAAGTTGTCATATATTTATACTTGTTAAAATATAATAATAAATTATTATAATTTTTAATTATAAGTTGTTGTAATACATTTATAAATACAAAATAAAGTTAAAAATAAAAATATAATAATCATAAAAAATAAATTCAACGTATAATTTTTGTTAACAATATTTTATTATAATTATATTTAACAATTTTTAAAAGTATGCTATAATTTTAAAATATTAACAATTTTATAATAACTAAAAGAAGTGATTAAAACCAAATTTAAAATATTAATTAATTTAGTGTAGTTTGAAATTTCTATTGAATCAAAATTTAATCAAATAAAATTGTATTAAATTTTGATGTATAATTTAGATTTTTATTTAATGAAAAATCCTGAGAAGCATTTAAATGTTGCTATAAAAGATTCCTGTGAGTTGAAGTTGAATCTGGTGGAGAATGAATAAAATTCCCAGAACATTGTTTATGATAGTAGTTCAGGTTGACGATCGAATTTGTACATTTTCATGAGAAATGGGAACTCACAGGGAACAATCAGTAGGCTTAAAGGACACAGTGCCAGCCTCAAGGTCATATCCAACCCAGAAATTTGTCTGAGCCAAGTTTCCATAGAAAGTCACGTTGCTGGGAACCATTGTCAAACATGCCACATCCTCCCTCATCCAAGAGAACGTATTCACTGGCTGCAACCTCACATCCCCTCCCTTAAAATGTGCTGTGATGATGGGAAATCTGATTCTGTCAGCAGTAGTTTGATAACAAAGCCTAAGAACACCATATGGGTCACTCACCCTTTGAGCCCTTATTGTGTTTTCCAAAGCAGATACCAAACCATCATAAAGGCCTGATGGCAGAAAAGTATATGTTGTTCCAGAATCAATGGCCACATTCCCCTCAATACCAACCTGGTTTGCAAATTCAATCCTCTCTTCCCCTACACTTAAAGCCTCCAATGTGATGAGGTAATGGTTAGAAGTAGCAGTTGTAACAAAAGGGGTTGTAACGACTTCAGGACCAGAAACCACAGAATCTTCACCGAAAATAATCTTGCTAGTGGACTTCATGGTTCTGGGAACTAGACAATAAGACATTTTTTTTATACCAAATTGAGAAAGTAGTGAAAGCTTGCCTCGACCAAGACCAATGAGGCCTGACTCTGAACTGATAAATGTCCCACCAGTGTTGTGTGAACACCCAAATAGAGTGTTTGGAAGAGTAATTGGGTTTTGGGTGCCTAGGGTAAAGGTTTCAGAGGCAAGGTTTCCCTCAGTGTGAGAACCATCAAAGTAAGAATAACCATACCAACATATGCTATTCCTGTCACACCGTGGATACTGTACGTATCTTGAGTTGCAAAATGTAGATCTGCATGGTAGTGTGCTGTATGATCTGGAATTGCGAGGATCAAAGATAGGAGTAGGTTGGTTGTGACATTTTATGCATGGCAAACACTGTGTCCATATGAGATCACTGCCTGTGTCAACTATGGCAATAACCTCAACCGGTGGAGTTCCAATGAAAATTTTCATGAGGTACTCTCCACCTCCACCAGTCATAGGGGCCAGTGAGTTGCCATTGTTAGGGTTTGCACCAGCATGTTTGAAACTGTTGACGCGGTTCCATGAGCGTTGGAAAGCACTGTGGAAGCGATCAGAGGGGGTGGTTTTGGGGTCATAGAATGGAGATAAAGGGGAATCACGGTGAATGAGATAATGAGTAGTGGCTTGAGAGAGAAAGAAGAAGATGAAGAAATGAAGGATTCCTAAGAGACTTAGGGCAAAGCAAAAGGGTTGTGATTGGGTGGTGATGGCCATCTTTGACAATGAGTTAAGATGAAATAATGGTACAAAAATGGTGTATCACTTGCTCATCAGTTTATAAAGAAAAGAAATAGAGGGCATTATTGTAATTTCATGATCTTCACCCACAGTTTACGAGCAAATCCATTTATTACACACAGAAAATTTAAACAATGAATTGGATCCCAATCCATCCATTTAATCATTGGATGGTGAATTTTGGTTTCAAATTTTTAAAATTAATCCAACTTATTTTTAATCGGTAAGAATTTTGCAAAACATATTTTCAAAAATTATTTTAAGAAATATATGTTTTTAATACATTTTAAGCGGAAATAGTTTAAATTTGTTTAAGTCCATTAAAATGCTTAAATATATATATATATATATATATATATATATATATTGCTATAGTAAAATCCAATATATCTACTACGTGTAAGAAATATTTAATAATATTCTTCAAATAACTTTTTTGTTAATAAACTTTTGAAAAATTTATTTCAAAATATGTTCCATATATTTTAAAAATAATAAAGCTATAAGCTAGGTCATATTTTTTCTGTATAGAGATTTAAAATGGTAGAATTTTTTAATTGTTTATCAATTGATGTTATGTACAACTCATGCATTTAATAAGTATACTTTAACTTATGTTCAAGAAAATATTAAATACAACATTTAATATGCAATTAAAACAACTCGTATTTATTTAACAAATATTAAATATCTATTTATTTATGCAGTTACGTAAGTAATACGTAAATGATATATTTTAATTTTATTTTTTACATTCAAAATATATTATTATTAGCAATGATAATTTTTAAATATATAATTAAACTGGATAAAATATATTTTTTATTTCTTAGAAATGTCTTATTGAAATAATTTCGTATAATATTTTATATTATTGTTACTGTAAAATATAAATGTATTTTTGTTTTTTAATTTTTAACTATTTAAAGTTTGCTGACGTAACAAAAATAGTGATTTGTTTTTATTTTGGTAAAAATATTTTTTAGCGTAATAGGTAATTGTATGTGTTTAAAAATTGTAAAACCAAATTATTAAATCAATTTTAAAATTCTCTATGATAAATGATAATCAATTAATTTCAAGACTAAAAATTGATAATCGATTATGTTTTTACTTAATTCATTATATAATTATATTTTTATAATGTAACAAATTAATTTATTAATTTTTTTTAATCAATTATCTAAATCAAGTCAAATTATTTCAATTCTTTAAATTAAAGAAAACTTTTACCAATAGTATACACTTTTTTAATACAATCCAGAGAAATTATGTGAGCATTGAAACAACTAATGTGAAACCATATGTGAGAATCATGTTTAAAGTTTAAGTAATTTACTATAAAAATGTATGTATTTTACAATTTAAATTGAGGTGATTTTGTTATTTTCTTAACTTTTGTTTAATTTTTGATGATGGTAAAGAGAATATAATCAATATTACTTAAAAATTATTCAGTTTTTTTGAGTAGATCTTAATAAAAAGTTTGCTTTTCAAGATTTACATAGCTGAATATTTATAATCTAAATCTTTAAAAGTTTATAACAAAAATTTAAGTTAAGATTATTTAAATAATTGGATGTAGATGTGTTAATGGGAAATTGATAAAGGGATCGAAAAATGAAGGAAAGAAAAAATCGAAGATCATACGATTGGTAAAAGACATCGAGAACGTATTTTCGATGAAAGTGGTAAAAGATACCTGGTAACCACAAAGATAAAAGCACATCGAGAATCAAAATCGAGAATCGAAGAAACAAAATTTCGATGCCTATTGTTGAAGTTAGAATAGTACAAAATAAAAGGGAATCAAAAGTAAAATTTAAAATACTCGATGTCTGAAATCGAGATCGAGGGGAGCGGTTAACACACACAGGGAACGTGAGAAACAGTTTCTAAACCGCAACAAAGATCGAAGGAGGAGCAGTTCTCTTATACGTAAGAACGTGGAGTGCAGTTTTTAAAACTGTAAGACTAAAGGAACGAGCACGTAGGATCGTGGTGATAGTGGTATTAACCACTCTTGGGAGGTTACTTGAAAGATGCTCTATAAATAGAGCGAAGACTGAGAAAAGAAGGGGGGAATTGACAGAGAGAACAAAAATACTAGTGAGAAGTCTACCGAAGAACGAAGTAATCATGAAGTTTCTTGCGATCTGAATTTCCATTTTCATTGATTATCTGTACCACTTTCTTTACTTTCCCTGGTAATTTATGTTCATGTAATTTACTTTGATGCAGTTTACGTTCAAACAACTTTAAGTTCATGTACTTTCGATTCCTTGTTATCTGACTATTTAAGATTATGCATCTAAGTTTTTCGCTATTTACAATTTATGCAATCTCGATTTCCTGCTATTTACATTTATGCAATCTCGATTTCCTGCTATTTACATTTCTGCAATTTCGATTTCCTATTATTTATATTTCCGTAATTTCGATTCTTTGTCGTTTACACTTAGTGCAAATTTGAGGTTTCCGTAATTTACATTTCTTCGCAGCTTTATATTCTGTACTACTTTTCGATTTGACATTTTACTGCTTTCTTTATTTCGAGTGCTTTAAATACAAAATACCAAAAATAGCGCTTTCGATTGTCATTAGGTTACATTAAGATTTGTGGTACTATCGAATTTTCGATTCTCATACATATTTTGATTGAAAATCATTTGCTAGCCTAAGTAAAAAGAATCTACGTGGTTGGAATTTGGTTAGAACAAAATTCCCTAGAAATCGAAATCGATCAAAATTCCACCAGAAACAAGATGAGGTGGAATCAAATTAATATTTATATTCGATTTTATTTAGTTTTACATAAAAAGATTTATCAATTTTTATTTTTAAATTGAAAAGAACGAACAATTTTTGAAAAAAATTCATTAAAACTCAGTTCATACTAACTCATTCTAATTCTTTTCAAACATTATTATTTATAATATCAATTTAGCCAAACTTTACTTCAAAGAATAAAGTTATTGTCACTTTTTTATTGGGTAAATTAATTAATTAAATTTTTATAAATATATAAAATATAGTATACCTATCCGAATATGGTTAATACATTTTCTATAATATATTATATAAAGTCTTAGATATTATATATTTTTTTAAGATTGATGGAAGAGACGTATTAACTCACCCAAAATAAAAATTGACAGTAAAAATAATAATAAAATGAAATTAAAAAGAATATTTAACCAATATTAATCTACAGTTTCATCTCTCTCCTTGTGCTTACAAATTGAGAAGCAAAGCGTTACAGAGTTTCGTCTCAATTCATTGTCAAAGATGGTCATCACTTCCAAATCACAGTCCCTTAACTTTACTCTAAGTCTCTTTGGAATCCTTCATTTCTTAATCTTCTTAACACCCTCGCAAGCCACCACTCATCGTCTCATTCACCGCGATTCCCCTTTATCTCCCTTCTACCACCCCACAACCACCCCCTCTCATCGCCTCCACAATGCTTTCCAACGCTCATTGAACCGCATCAACAGTTTCAAACTTGCTGTAGCTAACCCTAACAATGGCAACACACAAGCCCCTGTGAAACCAGGTGGTGGTGAATACCTCATGACAATTTTCATTGGAACTCCACCAGTGCAGGTAATTGGCATAGCTGACACAGGTAGTGACCTCATATGGACACAATGTCTGCCATGCATACATTGTTACCCCCAAACTATTCCTCTCTTCAATCCTCAGCATTCCAAATCGTACAACACACTACCGTGCCGATCTACATTTTGCAACCCAAGATATGTTGATCATCCTCGATGTGGCATTAATAGCACATGTTGGTATCGTTATTCTTATTTCGATGGTTCTCACACTGCGGGAAACCTTGCCTCTGAAACCTTCACCTTAGGCACCACAAACCCTATTTCACTTCCAAATACTCTATTCGGGTGTGCACACGACACTACTGGCATTTTTGATAAGTCAGGGTCAGGCATCATTGGTCTTGGTCGGGGAAGGTTTTCACTAATTTCTCAACTAAATGGTTCCAAAATGTTCTCTTATTGTCTAACTCCCAATACCTTAAACTCCACTAGCAAGCTTAGTTTCGGTGAAGATTCTGTGGTTTCTGGTCCTGAAGTTGTCACAACTCCTTTTGTTACCACTGGTACTTCTACTTCATACCACATCACAGTGGAGGCTTTAAGTGTTGGGAAAACGAGGATTCCGTTTGTGAACAAGAGTGGCATTGAAGGAAATGTGATCATTGATTCTGGGACAACCTATACTTTTCTGCCATTAGGTGTTTATAATGGTTTGGTATCTGCTTTGAATAACATAATAAGGGCTAAAAAGGGGCGTGACCCCAACGGTATTCTTACCCTTTGTTATCAGACTACTGCTGACAAAATCAGGCTTCCCATTATCACAGCACATTTTAAGGGAGGGGATGTGAAGTTACAGCCAGTGAATACATTCTCTTGGGTGAGGAAGGATGTGGTATGTTTGACAATGATTCACAATGACAATACAGTTTTTGGAAACATGGCTCAGACGAATTTCTTAGTAGGATTTGACCTTGAGGCTAGTACTGTGTCCTTTAAGCCCACTGATTGTTCCCTTCAATAACTGCTCAAATTCAATAATCTGCAGATTACAGAAACAAAGTTTCCTAAACTTTAATCATATATTTAATATCCTGTTCTGAACTCTACGCTTTAAGGTTCAATCGGTGGTTTGAGAATCTTTACTTTTCTGCATTTTGACAATCTTCTTTCACAATCTCTAAATTGTCTCTAATTAGGTATAACTGTTAAAACGCACTACCCAAAAAATTTGTTGTGATTAAAATTAAAAAAAAAATTATAACATATTTATATAAAATGAATTAATTAAAATAATTAAATGAAAATAAAAAATAAACAAAATAAAAATATATTTTAAAATTTTAAATTTTATTAATAAAATTAATTTTTATTTAAGATATAATAATTTTATTAAAAATTTATAATTTATTTTTGATAATTTATTAATTTAAATAATAATTAATCTTCATTATTAAATTTGAGAAAAGTAATTATTAGATATTTATTTTAATATTTATTTTTAAAATAGGTAAATTCCTGTGAAATTAATTTATAATACAGTTTTTAATAAAATAATATTATTTTTTATTTTTAAAATAATTATTATTTTATTAAATGGACCACCGATCTACGAATTAATTTAAAATGTATATAAAATACGATCTCGGATTAAAATAACACTAATTTAATTTAGGTTCTAAATTTTTGTATTTAATATGATATATTTTTCTTATCTATTTTATTAACTAAATACAAATATTTTTTTATAACTTTTAATTTTTTAAATATTTATTGTCATATTTTTTAAAATTATTAATTTATTTTATCACATATTATTAATTTAAAACATAAAACAGTAAACAATAAATGCATTACGTTACTACGTTTGCCTTTGATGGAAAAATCAATGGTTCAACCGCCATCCTCTTATATATATATATATATATATATATATATATATATATATATATATATATATATATATATATATATATATATATATATATATATATATATATATATATAAAGAAAAATTCATATATGACTGTTTATTTTCATCCTTTATTATAATTTAATGATTAAATTTTGTATTTTATTTTTTAAAATAATTTTAAATAAGCATTTTTTGAAAATAAATTTTTACAAAAAACTTCTTTAATAATCTTAACTTAAGAATTATTTTATATAAAATAATAATATTGGTGAAATAAATATGACAAAAATTAAAAAATGATTTTAGTAATTTCATAAACGGATACAGTAAATATGTGAATACCATAAATAAAAGCAAAGTATATATTTTATTAATTTTGTTTTTGTTAGTTTTAAAATCTAAAAAATTAAAAAACTATAATAAAATAGTTATTAAATAAGTGTTTTAGTTAATAAAATAAACAAACAAATCTTAAATTTTTATTTATTTTTAAGAATAATAGATCGAGAATAGATAGTAAAAATAAAAAGTAAATTACTAATATCTTCTCGTGTGTGTGTATATATATATATATATATATATATATATATATATATATAGTATTAATTATTTACACATTACGTTTACGTTTACTTCGGGTTAAAAAATTAATGTCTGAACAGCATTTGTTTTATATATAAGTATTTTATTATTACCATTTTTATCAAAATATGTTACTTTATTTTCAAATAGTATTAATTATTTATTTAAATATAATAAATATATTATGTTGAAATATATATTTTTTTGGGGAAGAAAATTAATGCTCAACAACCCTTGTTTAATAAATATAAAGATATATATGGTATGTGTTCGAATGAAAACATTGTAATTAAATGAATTATTTACTAAAAATTTAACGTTAATATCTCAACATATCATGACATTATATTATGTGAGACTAATCCCTCCCATTTTGGCATATTTTTATTATACTCTTCCTCATTGCTATAATATATATATAAATATAAAAGTTAAAGAAGGATAAATTTTAAACTAAATTAAAATAAAATAAAATAAACAAGGATGTTTTATCCTATTTAACATGAAAAAGACCAAACAAACAAAATAATAATATTGCGTATATGTTGTCTTTCACCATCATATTCCGATCATATCAATACCTTAGCCAACAGCCATGTCAAAAATATAACTTTTAAATTCAATGTTTCAAAAAGCATTTTCTTTTACTATTAATATTCAAAGGTACTTAATACTTTGTCTTTGAAAGAGTGAAAAAAATCTTATTTGATATCTGAGTGTGAAAACAATTTTAATTGGTATCTAATATCATTTTTACATATTTATGGACTAAATAGTAAATTTCAAGAATTCAATATAGTCCTTGGTTGGTTTTATGCCTTTATAAATTCAGCAGCAATGGTACACCATTTCATCCACCACCTTTTGTTCTAACAATTCATTGTCAACGATGCCCATCACCACCAAATCACAGCCCCTTTACTTTGCCCAAAGTCTCTCAGGAATCCTTCATTTCTTAATCTTCTTATTCCCTTCTCAAGCCACTACTCATCATCTCATTCACCGCGATTCCCCTTTATCTCCCTTCTACGACCCTTCAAGCACCCACTTTGATCGTTTGCACAATGCTTTCCAACGTTCGTTCAAGCGCATCAACCATTTCAAAGTTGCTGCTGCTAACCCTAACCATGGCACCATACAGGTCCCTATGAAACCTGGAGGTGGAGAGTATCTCATGAAGATTTCCTTTGGAACTCCACCTGTTGAGGTAATTGGCATAGCTGACACTGGTAGTAACCTTATCTGGACACAATGTTTGCCATGCATACAATGTTATAACCAAACTATTCCTCTCTTTGACCCTCGTCATTCCAAATCATACCACACAGTACCATGCCAATCCAAAGTTTGTAACAGTACAACAGATTCAGAAAATGCAAAATGTCAGAATAAGACCACATGTGACTATAGTTATTCTTATGCAGATGGTTCTCACACTGCTGGCAACCTTGCTTTTGAAACCCTAACCTTAGGCATAAGCAACCCAATTTCTCTTCCAAATGTTGTATTTGGTTGTGCACACGACACTGCTGGCATATTTGATGCATCAGGGTCAGGCATAATCGGTCTTGGTAGTGGCAAACTTTCACTGATTTCTCAAATGGCTACTCATTTACCCGGTGGCAAAAAATTCTCCTATTGTCTAATTCCCACTACCATGAACAAGAACTCCACAAGCAAAATTAATTTTGGAAACGATTCTTTGGTTTCTGGTCCTCAAGTCGTTAGAACTCCTCTTATTATAGCAGATCAGGGTCTGTTTTCACTCACATTGGAGGCCTTCAGTGTAGGAAAAGAGAGGATTAAATTTCCACCCACGGGTGACACAACGACTGTTCCTAATACCGAAGGAAATGTGATCATTGATACTGGGACAACATTTACTCTTTTGCCAAGTGATGTGTATACTGGTTTGGTAAATGCTTTAAGTAAAGTTATAAAGGCTAAAAGGGTGAGTGACCCCAACGGTGATCTTCACCTTTGTTATGAAAGCAATGGCGATGACATGAAGCTTCCCATTATCACAGCACATTTTAAGGGTGGAGATGTGAATTTGCAGCCAGTGAATACGTTCTCTTGGGTGAAGAAGGATGTGGTATGTTTAACAATGGTTTCAGATGATGACGTAAGTCTCATGGGAAACTTGGCTCAGACCAATTTCTTAGTAGGATATGACCTTGAGGCTCGCACTTTGTCCTTTTTGCCAACTGAATGTGCCAAGTGATGTTAGTCTTACGTAAAGGGTTCCTACAAGTTCCCCATCCAAATTAGATATCAAACTTGCCAACTCTATCATATTTTATTTAATGAATTTAATAAAATTTTCATTCGTTCTATTTAATTATTCATTTAATTAAAACCACATGTATAATGAAAATTAAGGATTAAATTAAGATCATAAATCAACAAAGATATACCATATTGATAAAGAGGTGTGAGTATGATATAATAGAATGTAACTGCAATTTCTCCAAATTACAAACTTATGTTTGTAGGAATAAAACAATTTGTAGAGTATTATTTCATTTAATCCGTTCACCAAATTTTGTTTTAATTGACTGGCATTTAATATAGTCAAATGTACTAGACAAAAATAGTTTAAAAATAATGTTAAAATTAATATATGCATATGTTAATTGTGAATGAAGGTTAAGGAATAACTATAGAAGATTTGATTATTGACAAGAAATATTTTAGAGAAAAATGTGTGCGTTTAAAATATGTGAATAAATGAGGATAAGAACGAAAAAAATAAAAAATAATTGTTATTTCATATCAATAACAAATAATATGAAATAAATAAACTTTTAAAAGACAGTATATATTATAAAATGGTTTAAGTTATTATTAAAAAAATTATAGGGTTAAATACATTTTGTTTTTTACATTTAGTCAAACTCGATTTTGTTTTCAATATTTTAAAAAATAATAATCAAATTCTTCAAATTTCAAAAAATATTGAATTTAATATTTTTATCAACCTTATCAACTTAAAATATAAAAAATTAATAAATCATGTTTAATTATTTTATCAACTTTTAATTAAGATAAAAAATCATCATTAAATTTTAATTCATAAATTTAAAATATAATCAAATAGAAGTTTATAAATATACGGAGAATTTTTTTCTAATTAATATTGGTTAATTTATTTATGTTTATGATATTGTTTTTATTATATCAACCACAATAAAAATTCTATGTATGTGTCAATATTAATTATAAGAGCATACAATGAAGTTGTTTATTAAGATACTTAAATAAAATATTAATTAAAGTATTAATTGATTGAAATAATTTTTTTAGAAAAATATATGTGACATGACACTTGTTTAAACTTTTTTATAATTGTTTCATAAACAATTTACAAAAATAAATAAATCAAAATAAATAAGAAGAAAAAAATAGAGAAAGAATAGATTTTTTAAAATTTATTAAAAAATTTCTAATTAAAATTAATAATAAATTTATTAAAAATAATGTAATATCATAAAAAAAATTTATATTTTTTAAGAAAATAAGCAACTTAGATGAGTTTGCTCTAAGATATGTCCAAAAATGTTTAATCAACCAAAAAATAATTAAAAAATTGAAAAAAATTTACATATATCAATTGAAAATAATTAAAAATAATAATATTAAATAATATAAATTGTGAAAAACTTTAATTCAACCTCAATTAATTATTTATAACTTTTGATAAAATTAAATTAGTTTCAATTAATGTCAACTAAAATTTTTTGTTAAAATATTTAATGTTAAGATAAATATTTACATTTTATATTAATTAAAATGATTTAAAAATTAATATATTTAAATTATCTTATCCAGGTAATAAATTAAAAAAGTAATTTGAATCGTATCTCAATCTCAAAATAAGACGCGTGTGAAATCTGAACTTAAGAGGATAGTGTGAGAAGGTTTAGGAGAGAGAAACAGAAAGAAATGAGATTAAGTTGCAATGGAGTTTATGAAGTAAGAAGCAAATGAAGATAAGAGAAGAAAGAAAATGAGAGACAAACTGAAGCTGAAATTGGAAAAGTCAGAAGAGAGATTTTATGGAAGCTCTTGAAACCAACCAAGATCTATAAAATAGGAGTATCCGTTGCCAATACCAACCAAAGAACACCAGACACCAAGTAAGTGCTACAAAGTTACGGTTGAGGCTTGATTCAGTATCACACGCTAGACTCCACCCAATCGTGACTATGGCTCTGTTTCTTCAAACGCATTACCCTCTACGCTCACTGCGTAACCCTTATCACTTCCCAAACCCTTATAATCCCTTTCTCATACTCCCCGCCACTTCCACCAAATCCCTTTTGCCATACCATGCCGCAATTTCATTATCCGCTCGCCGCACTCCTTCACGCCGTTCGCCGCCCTCGCCCACTGCCTCCGCTTCCCACCGCCACCCACCTCCACAAACGCCACCTCTCAAGGCTTTTGCGGGCCTCGCCGCCTCCGCCGTGCTGTTTCTCTGCCTCGGCGTTCGCCTGTGCTTGGCATCTTCTCCGCCGCTGCCGTCTCTACCCGCCGGTCCTCCTGCAGTTCAGGAGGAGCAAACTGTTCAAGGTTTCTTAGAAGCCGAGCCTCTCTACTCTCTCATATGTTATTGTTTGTGTTATGGTTAAGTATAGTGTAATTTGGTGGTTACTACTTTTTCGCGTGTTTTTTAGCTTTCTCTCTAATATCGTAAGATTTTTTTTTTTTTTTCAGTTTTAATTTTTCCTAATAATTATGAATAATGGCCCCTGATAGTGTGATTTCGTTTGGTATTGTAGATATGCATGACAAAAAGAAAATAGAGGATAACACTCTAGGTCCTTGATTTTAGCTGGAATTTACAAGTTTTAGGTGAACCCGGGTATCTAGTAGCGGAAATTTAAGGGACACGGAAATTTATTTAAGAAGTTGCCTTTTCTCAGCACATTTTCTACTATACACATGGACCTAGAATTGAACCCTTGATTACATGTTTAAGGGACATGATTATCGGCCAACCATACCGCACTGGCGGTTTATGTTGGTAGAAACTATGGATACTAACTTGATTTGGAACTATTTCAGTTTCTTATCTGCCAATCATACATCACTGACGCTCCATGTTGGAAGCTACGTTGAACTTGATCACTGAAACATAAACACGGAATTTGTTATCACTTGATTATGCATATAAAACTCTTTATATCGATTACTTGAATAAGTTTAATTGTTTGATTTTGATTGAAATTAAAGAAAAAAATTGTTTACCGATGGGAAAAAGATCTATTATTTCTTTAAAACAAATAAGCTATCTCAGGACACTTGGAACCTGGAGTAGGAATGAAAATTGAACTAAAGATGGACGGGTTTTTGGGTGTTTTGTTTCTTTAAGTTCCTCTTTCCTTGCCGGTACATTTTTATATTTTAATTCTGTTATGTATTTTACATTTTTACAATTTGTTTTAGCTACTTCCGTTAGTAAGGAAGTTGATTTTACAAAATGTATTATGGCTCTCCTTAATTCTATCTGGTTTTAAATCCAAATAGCACTTGCTACCTATCAGCTGTCTTGACTGTTTTGACTCACATAATTATCCTCTTTCTTGGTGTGTGAGGTTTCTGCTGGAGGATGAACTCCATGAGGTTTTAATCAAAAAATTAATCAACCTCTCTAAATGGGTTGGGTGATGTTGTGATATGTGGTTAAATGTTGACAGATGATCATGATGGAAGAAAACAAGAAGGCAGAGAAACTGTAGTAGATAAAGAATTAGAAGAAGCTTTTAATGCCTGGAAATCTAAAACATTTGCATTGACTGTTCCCCTGAAAGTTGTTGCTCTACGTGGTTCTATACCTCCTTCATGGATCAAGGTTTGTGACACATATTCTTTGTTTTCTGTGATTAATTAACCTGTTATATTATTGATTTCACTTTATTTGTCTCCTTGTGGGTTCCTGGGAATTGTCTTTCTGTATTCTTTGCTATCTGGATGTGTCTTGTTTCCTCAAAAGTTCTCTGAAATTATAATAGTGTGTCTAGTCATAAACTCTTTTCTAGCATCAATTAACAGTTTATTTGGTGAGAGAGTACGGTATTTCATGCTGTAGCATCCTTTGAATGTACAATGTGATTTCAAGCAACTTACAGTTTCTAAAATAATTTAATATTGATTTTCAGTAACCTATCAATAGATTGTCATGTTAATTTTTCTTCAATTGTAGGACTTCATAAATTCTCAAGGGAGGAGAATGAAGTTTAACGTGAAGTATTATGCAAGTCTTGAGAGCATCTTTTCTGATCTATCAATTCCCTTTACTAAAGGAAAAATTAACCCAGGATCTGCTTTGGCAGCAGATATTGTTGGTATTGGTGATTCATGGCTCAAACTTGCTATTAACAAAGCTATAATTGAGCCAATACGAGATGTAGAAGATCAGGAGTGGTTTAAAAGCTTAAATGACAAATGGAAGGTAACACTATATTTTTTGTATGTTTCTTCTCCTTCAAACATGTCTCTAAAGATTCATCTCATGTTTTTTTTATAACATACGCGGTTGGTTTCTTGAACTTAGTTCATCTTAAATTTGATGTTTCTGCATACCTCATTGAGCATGTATGAAATAGGAATATCTTTACTTTTAAAACCATATGGCTAATACGAGCATACCAAGACATCATAGTTGCCTAAATACTTGTCTGCATGCACTTGGTTGTGACATCTTTGTAATATGCTCATTTATGTCTGCATACTTCTATGCATGCGCTAAACTGAGAGAACTTGTATTACAGTAGATTTTTTATGTGTTCCTTTCATAGCAGAGAGAGTTCCTATATACCCTATTTTGAGAGACTAGGCGTAGGTGTAAGGTGTAGTTATTTACAATGAAAGGGATAAGAATGTAGGCACAGCCAAAAGAGAGGGGGAGTTAGGAAACTGGTGGGAAAAAAAAGGATTCAAAATACTATCACTGAGTAGCGCTTTTGGGATGATGAGGTTAAACGGGATGTTAGGGAAAGAAATGGGATAGTAAGCGGTTGTTGTGGTTATGAAGTGGTCATCTCTCTTGCGAGGGCTTAATCATGTGAGGGTAGTTACCGTAGCTACTTTCGAGGTTATTCCTCTGCATTCTTTTGCTCCTTCATTCAGCTAATAGTTCCTTTTTCTATTTTAATTCAATGAAATTCGTGGTTATCCATCTTATAGTAATATATTTCCTTTATTTAATGATCTAACGGGGGAGAGAGAGATCTTAACAAAAAAATTGTAACTCTAGACTCTAAAAGGGGGACAAGGCTTTGTTGCTGCTATTGCGTTTTTTTTTTTTCAAAATAAAAAAATAATCTGGGTCAAAAGTTGAAAACCTGAATGTGAAATAATAGAAGACGTTTGATGTTCTGAGAAATTATAAAATGAATAAGCTATCAGCAAAAGAAAATAGAGAAATGGAGTAAGGGTAATCTTTGACAGAGAAGTATCACTATTATCCGTTGTGCTATACATGTTGACACAGCAATTTGTTCTGAACCTCAGTAGATTACCCATTGTATTTTGTGATAGCTACCTAGATATTTATCAAAATGAGCTCTTACTTATGTGGTACAGTGACATCACTACACCGACTTTATATTGCAGACATAAATTTACGGAAAGAACGCATTAAACAAAATATAACTTTGCTACTGAAGATTATAACAAAGCATCATAGTGAGAACATAATATGTATAGCTAGCACCTCAACCCATTAATTATTATCCTTTTGGAATGCATCCTGATATGATAGACACCATAGTAAAAACCTGGTTTATAAATCTCCTTGTTTCATGTTGATTATCCCTGAGGTTAATTGTACCTACATAGTGTGTTGTTAGTTACTATTCTTTTGGAGTGTATCCTGATTGTCATGATAGTCAGAACCTGGTAATAGTATATATAATATATATCTCCTTGAATTGTGGTGCATTTGCCTACTAGGTTTATAGCATATGCAATGTTTAAGTTAGTTGTTATCTTTTTGGGTATCTTGGTAGCATATGTTACACTCCCTAACAAAGTTCCAGGTATACCTACGCAGGAACTCTGAGGGAGAAATAGATCCTAAAGGTGATATATGGGCTGCTCCATATCGATGGGGCTGCATGGTAATAGCATACAAGACAAACAAATTTCAAGAGCATAAGTTGGATCCTGTAGAGGTATGTTGTTTCTAGTAGACGATGTAAAATTTTTGTAGAGTTTTTGGGACTATATCAACTCAAATTGCAGGATTGGGCAGATCTTTGGCGGCCTGATCTTGCCGGGAGGATTTCGATGGTTGATTCTCCTAGAGAAGTTGTTGGTGCAGTTTTGAAGTATATGGGTACTTCCTATAATACAAATAACATCAATGCTGAAGTTAACGGTGGGAGAGATGCTGTTAAACATAATTTGACTTTGCTTGCAAAACAGGTATTGTTACTGGATGATCTCTCGCCTGATGATGTTGTTTTCTTATTGGAAGTGGTGGAAAGCATTACAAATCAATTCTTCACAGAGAAAACGTTCCTTTTTTTCTTTTGCAAACAATAATTTAACTTTCTAATCTTTTTTGTATGTATTTGTAGGTTCGACTGTTTGATAGTTCAAACTATTTAAAAGCTTTTGGAGTTGGAGACGTGTGGGTAGCTGTTGGATGGAGTAGTGATATTATTCCTGCTGCTAAACGCCTGTCTAATGTTGCTGTTGTTGTTCCAAAGTCTGGAGCGAGCTTATGGGCAGATCTTTGGGTATTTCTCTTATTATTATGTCGGTTTTTAGGTTTCGTATCTGATAGATTAATGGTTTCAAGAAATTATTATGTGGAATGATTTAAATGGTATCTGATCGTGGAGCCCTCGCAGTACAGGAATCGTTGATAAACTAATGGAATGGGATTCTGATAACACCTATTCAATGACAGCTGTGTCTAGTATTTAATTTCCTTAGACACTGGGCTTTATTGACTTTTTTCTGGCCCCCCTTTTTACCATTTTTTTTTCAGGCAGTTCCGGCTGCTTCTAGAATTGCAACAAATCAGATTGGCGGACGTATTAGGGGACCGTCACCATTAATCCATCAGTGGATAGAGTTTTGTCTGCAATCTGCAAGAGCACTGCCCTTTAAGCAAGAGGTGATCCCAGGTGCCTCTCCCTCACATATTCAAGGTCATTCAGCCAATGTGCCCATCGAGTTAACCAATGGTAGGCCGAAGCTAAAGGGTAACCTGGTTGATGGAGCACCTCCACCAGACATCTTAGAAAGATGTGAGTTTCTAGAGCCACTATCTAATTCAACACTCTCAGATTACCATTGGTTGATTACATCTATCCAGGAACCTGGCCATGGATTGATACATAAAATGTATCAGAATATCATATCAGTGGCTAAATTTTCTGAGTGGTCTAATTCAAAGCTTACTTGAATAAAGTTACTAGGCCGAGGAATACATATCAAGGATCCGTGGCTAATATAATTTGAATGATTTGAAACTCGAAAAGTTTACTGAGTACAACGTTACGAGGCTGTCGTTCAAGCCACAACGATGCCGAGCAGCATGAGAGCATTGCTGACTTTCTGTAAAAGTACATCAAGTTTTTTAAACTTGGTGTTTGTCTTTTTGAGGAAATTGTTAGTACTGATCAACATGAAGCAACTGTTACACTTGAGCGGGCATGACCGTATAAACGATTATTATAAAAATAAATGTCAATAACATTTTAACATACTATGTTTTAAAATAAATAAATAAATTAGTAAAACTATAATAGCTGAAATATATAATATCTTGTAAGATATATTTGATATTGACTTTTGTAAAAGGAAAACCATAACATACATGCCAAATTACTCTTTCCTTTCCGGAACGAGAGAGGTTGCAAGTTGATTCTTTTCTTTTTGCACAAAGTTGTTACCTAAGGGAATTATGAGTAATACAGTTTATTTTCATATTCTGTGTTAGTTTGGTTGTCCCTATCGTAACATAACCAAAAAATGTTTGTCCCTTCGCCACAAATGAATTTATTTATAGTAAATGGGATAACTCCATCATTTCCTCTGTACCTTCAATTCTACAGCTTATCTCTCTTTATTTCTGAATCACTTTATTGAAATATAATACTAGTACTTATCACTTAAATAATCATTTAACGTTTTTTAACACAAGATAATATAACATTAGGAATCAAAATGGTATTTTCAAATATTACAAGAGTCAAAATTGAAGAATTTTTTTACATGAATTAGATTCAAAACTCACTATTTTACATGACTTAAAAACATCTTTAAGTATTTTTTTAGACGTTATTTAATTCATAAATACTTATTTTAAGTTTAACCAAACTGAACCTAATACCATTTAAAAAATGGCCTTCATTTAATTAATATCAGAATATTATTAATAAATATTTTTTTATAAATGATATCAAGTTTCAATACTTAAAGAAAATTTTTATTTTTAAATATATTTAAAAAATTAAAGGATAATTTAATTAATTTTTAACTATAGTAAAAATTAATTAATCTTTTTATATTTAAGTATGGAGATTAAAATCTTATAAAATGAATAATTTTAAATCCTCCTACTAATATTTCTTCTTTTTGGTATAATAAATAATGAAACTTTTTTATAATATTTTTATCAGTAAGAATTAAAAACATTACCATGAACGAAGTGTGTTTTTATAATTTTAAAACATTAGAATGATATTATTTATTTAATCATTTATTTACTAAATAAGAAGATACGATAGTAGATTATTTAGGTAGAAGATATACCATTATACCTATAAGATAGGCAAAAATGCGTATTCTATTCATCTTTAAAATACAAAAGTCGTGTTCAGTTTATTCAATTTCTTTGTTTTTTCTCTGTGATCACTGTTCTCATAAGAAATAGAGGCAGTGAGAACAGCAGAGTGTGTATAAATATAATGCAGATCTGAAACAAGAAACAAGAACAATTCCTTGCGTTCATCGTTACCATATTTATAAAAACAAAAGATTGTATACAGCATGAGGCCGGCTTTTCTTTTTCTTTTTGAATATTTATGCTTCAAACACTTCACAAAAAATAAAAAAGAGAAAAAACTTGTAAGAAATCTTATATAATGTGATGGAGGGATTTTTGTGTCACACTGATCAATGGAGAATGGTCAACCAATGTTGGATGGGAGAGTGGGAAACATACTAATCGCCATGGGTTCAGCGAGTTTCGTCATCACAATATTCCATCTTATCATCCTCTGCCGCACCCATCATCGCGTTCCTCGCACCAACCAAAATCCACAACAACAGCAACAGCCACGCAACGTTAACATTTCGGTGCTGCCACATCTCATTCCGATCCACACGTACCAAAAGAAGAAGAAGATAAACGATGATGGGGTGGCAGCGGAGGGCGACGACGACGAAGATGCCACGTGCGCCGTGTGCTTGGGGGAGTTCGAAGAGGGTGAAGAGTTGAGGACGTTGCCGGAGTGCATGCACTCTTTCCACGTGACCTGCATTGATACGTGGCTCTCTTCCCACCCCAGTTGCCCGGTTTGCCGTGCGCATGCCACACCATCGCCGGCAGTGGAGCACCCTTCGCCGGAGCTTGGTTCTGCGCTTATTGCTCATCACAGCATAGATATCACGCAGCTAGCCCGCCTTCAAAATGGCTCAGTCCCACGCTGAAACATTGACGTGTGATTTTTGGGGGAAGATAAGAAAATTAAAGAAAGAAGCAAAACTCATAATCTCATTTCCTCTCTATATGACAGCTGAAAAATATCGAACGACTTTGGATATAAAAAAAAAGGAAATTAGCATACACTAGATTTTAACGTGGACAAACTCACTGTTTGAAGGAAAAACACAGAGAACAGTTATAAACTTCAACTAATAATAAAGAATGGTATAACACAAGTTATCTTAATATCAACAAGGATCAACAACACTTTCTCCATAGATAAGATGGATAACACAAAACTTTTTTTTTTTTTTCTCGCGGTGACTTCTTTAACAAGAACTATTTTCAATATTAAGTTTTCTTTTTCTTGGTGACTTTTTTTTTCTCACCATAAATATTTTATCTCAATTCTGATTAGTCTTCTGTTTTTTTATTTGCCTTAAAAAAAATCAAATACAAATAAAAAAATTCTATAATAGACGATAAATCCTTATTATTTCTTTTTCTTAATCATCATACACTCTATAAATTGTTGGTCTATCTTACAGCGTGTTTTTAATCTAAAATCATATCCATTCTAATGATCAAACATATATCTATAATCCCATATCGTAAACATGCTTATAAACTAAATGCGAAGCGTACACGATTTGACCATAATGACGATATCCTTTATAGAGTACCTTTGATTTGATCTTTTGGTCTTCCACCTGAAGAAGCACTAGTATTTCCTCTTGATTTTCTCTCTTGATGGGGATAGAGATAAAGGAACGGAGTCGTAACTTTTTTTATCTCGTGTGCTCTCGGAAGGGGACCATGACCCTTTAAATAACCAAAATTAGGTTAATTACTTAAGTTTTAGTATTTTCAATTTGGCCCCTCATCAAATTAGAAATTACTCTATGGTCTCTACACAATCATATTTTCATGACATATGACTTTAGCCAAAACTTTAATTTATTCAGATCACTTTATTATTTGGCTTAATAAATAATGATCCTAACACATTCAAATATGTATCATATATATACATGACCCAAAATTTGCCAACAATCTCCCATTGGTCACAAATATATATGTCTTTACAACCTTACAAATGTGTTAGACTTTATGAGCTCAAAATTGTCATTATATTCCTTTAGCATATTCCAAAAGTCCTGTTCATTAATCATATCAGGATATAAAACTAAACCAGCTTTTCATTGCATCATCGCAACTAAAACCAACAAGATTACTCATCCTGACATAACCAAATGATATGGATTCATCATGAAATGTGTAGCATGAAAAATTACGTGAAGGTGATCTGTACACGTCTATTTTCAACTGGTCCAAACTTTAATTTATCGAGATCGATATAGTAACCTTAATGTACAAAGTGTAATGAATGAACAAAAAAAAAACCACATATCTATAGATAACCAAATATGTCCAAAAACAATGTATACATATATTAAATTAAACATAGAACATAAAATATATGAAAATGACTAACTCCCACTAAACCACAAATTCCTCAAACTGTAAAACACCCATGTGAGCAACATGCTCATGAAAGACCTTGGGCGGAAGTCTTTTAGTTAGAGGATCTGCTATCATGGAGTTTGTCCCTAAATGTTCTATGGAAATCAGTCCACTCGTACTCTTTCCTTAACAACTAGGAACTTAATGTCGATGTGTTTTGACTTAGTCGAACTTCGTTGTTGTTGGAATACAATACGGTTGATTTGTTGTTACAATATAACTTAAGTGGTCTTTCAATGCCTTTCACAATTTGCGGCCACGTGACAAACTTTCTCAACCATATTCCGTGATTCGATACCTCATAGCATGCTACAAATTCTGCTGCCATAGTGGATGAAGGCTGTAAGGGTTTGCTTGACATCTGCGCCAAGAAACCGCACCACCTGCTAACATGAAAATGTAACTCGAAGTGGATTTCAAACTATCTTGACATCCTGCAAAGTTCGAGTCGGAAAACCCAGCGATCTCCAACTGATCTGACCTCCTGTATGTGAGCATGTAATCTTTTGTTCTCTTTAAATATCTCATGACCCTTTTTGCTGCTTTCCAATGGTCCATTCCTGGGTTGCTTAAATATCTGCCTAGAACCCCAACTATGTATGCTATGTCTGGACGCGTGCATACTTGGGCATACATTAAACTCCCTATAGCTGATGCATAGGGAATCTTTTCCATTTCCTCAATTTCCAAATTTCCCTTTGGGCACTGATTGAGACTAAACTTGTCTCCCTTAGCAACTGGAGTATCCCCGGATTTACATTCATACATGCCAAACCTTTTAAGAATTGTTTCAATATAGCTCCTTTGTGATAATCCCAAAATATCCCGACATCGATCTCTGTGTATCTGAATTCCTAATATAAAAGACGCATCACCAAGATCTTTCATTTCAAAATTCTTTGATAAAAATTTCTTGGTTTCGTGCAATATGCCTGTATCATTAGTGGCAAGTAGAATATCATCAACATACAAGATCAGGAAAATATACTTACTCCCCTTAAACTTGTGATATACACAATCATCAACAATATTCATCTCGAAGCCAAATGAGAGAATTACTTGATGAAATTTATAGTACCATTGACGAGATGCTTGTTTTAGTCCATAAATGGATTTTGTCAGTTTGCAAACCATACTCTTTGAATCTCCCTGCACAAAATTTTCTGGTTGCACCATATAAATCGTTTCATCAATGTTGCCATTAAGAAACGCCGTCTTGACATCCATTTGATGAAGCTCCAAATCATAATGTGCTACAAGAGCCATGATTGTCCTAAAAGAGTCTTTCGATGAAACTGGAGAGAAAGTCTCTTTAAAATCAATCCCTTCCTTTTGGGTATAGCCCTTAGCTACTAGACGAGCCTTATACCTTTCCACATTACCTTTAGAATCCCGTTTGGTCTTAAATATCCACTTGCAACCAATGGGTCTCATACCTTCGGTAATGGGACAAGTTCCCAAACCTTATTGTCTTGCATGGACTTATACTCCTCCTTCATTGCTTCGATCCACTTTTCGAGTTAGAACCTTGCATGGCTTGACGGAAGTTAACTGGGTCATCTTCCATCATACCATTGTTTTCTTCATGTTCCTGAAGAAATACCATGTAATCATCCGAAATAGCACTTCTTCTTTCTCTAGTGGATCTCCGCAAAGTTATTGGCTCATGATGCACGGGTTCTTGAGGATCTTGAGTTTGTTCTTCATGAACAACCAAATCATCTTGAGTAAGGGGTTCATTAACAATGCCTTGTGGAGGTTCCGAACTTACTTTATCAAAAGTAATTGTTTGAATCGGTTCGGAATTATTACTCGATTCTTCCTCTAAGACAAAGTTTCGATTTTATTCTTCCCCCCAAACTCAATATCCTCAAAAAACGTAATGGTTCCAGTCTCAAAAATTGTCTTTAATGTGGGATCATAAAATTTATATCCCTCGGATCTTTCAAGCATAACCAATAAAATAATTACTTACTCGTTCGGGAGTCCAATTTCTTTTCATTTGGCTTATAAGGCCTTGCCTCAACTGGACAACCCCACACATGGAAATGCTTCAAACTAGGTTGTCGCCCGAGTCCAAAGCTCATAAGGTGTTTTGGTCATCTGCTTTAGTTGGTACTCTGTTCGGAATATAAGTCGTCGTCTTTAGTGCCTCTCCCAGAGTGACTCTGGTAAGGTGGAATGAAAAATCATACTCCCGACCATATCTTTAAGAGTTCAATTTCGTCTTTCAACTACACCATTCATGCTAGGTGATCCCGGCATGGTATACTTGTAGGACAATTCCACACTCCTCTAGGTACCTGGCAAAAGGTCCTGGACGCCGTTCACTCGACCGTCAAATCTGCCATAGTACTCACCACCACGATCAGATCCGACGGACTTAATTCTTTTATTGAGTTGATTTTCAACTTCGACTTTAAATGTTTTGAACACGTCTAGAGATTGTGACTTTTCATGTATAAGGAATAAGTATGCATATCGTGAGTAATCGTCTATGAATGATATAAAATATTGTTGACCATTCCACGAAGGTGTAGGAAATGGCCCACAAATGTTCGTATGTATCAACTCTAAGACGTCTCGTAGCTCTATATGCACCTAATCTCTTCGCTTTGGTCTCGTTTGCCCTTAATGCATTCAACACAAACATCAAAGTTTGTGAAGTCAATGGACTCTAAGATTCCATTTAACACAAGTCGTTCAACTCTATTTTTAGAGATGTGACCTAAGCGCTGTGCCATAATGCTCCTGAGTGAGTATCATCAATTTTACGTTTAGTACCACGTGATTACTGTATTAAGGGTTTCAGTTATAGGTGGTCGCAGTATCAAGTAAATACAGATTATCATAAGGCAAAAGTGAACCAGTTCCAATAATATCTGAATTAAAAGACAAACTGAACTTATTGTTTCCAAATGAACACAAATAACCTAATTTGTCCAGATAAGAAACTGAAACCAAATTCCGTCTAAATGACGGCACAACAAAAGTGTCTTTCAAATCCAAATAAAAACCAGTACTCAATAACAATTTAAAATGCCCTATGACTTCCACCTCTACCGATTTGCCATCTCCAACATATATCCATCTTTCAGAATCAATTGGCTTCCGGTAGCTTAGGCAACCCTCTATAGAAACACTGATGTTAGTAGTTGCACTGAGTCTAACCACCAAGTGTTACTAGGTACTGACGCTAAATTGACTTCAAAACAGACCAAAGTAGGAAACATACTTTTGAGGATCGGAACATAATTTAAATTGGCAGATACAGAAACAATTGTAGCTGAATTAGAACAAAAGAAATAAACTAATTATGCTCACATTATATAAAAAAATAATTATAAATAAAATATATATTCAAATAATGGTTTAACCCATCTCAAGACACCCAATGCACCATCAATATCAAGTCTTTTGACGATAATATTAACTGCTAGAGGTATCTTGTTGTAATAATCAAACATTGATAATAAAGCACGTCCAACAACAAATCAGTCTTTGGATTGATTTATCATCGACAAAGCTAATCTTTATAATTATCACATGTTTATCATTATAAGTGTATATGCAATTCGACCAAATATTAATCTTCCTTTGGTAGACTAATACTCGCATGAATATACACAAACACTAACATTTAATATTTTTCACTAACTACCCAATTCAAGAGATGTTACTTTGGTAACTTCTTAACTCAATTTGCTCACAAAAAATATTAAACTACCAAACAAAAATATTTTATTTATATAATAAAACCGAATATTTATAATTCTAAAGAAGAAAAAAGATTATAATTTCTATATACCAAATATAATTTATATATATATTAATGGTTTCCACAGGATCCTTCCAATTATACCACGTGACCTTCCACCTGATGCTCCATGGAGTAACGTCACCACTTTTGATACTATGGCCGTTTGACGTGGTGGTGGGCCTGCGGAACAAGCCCATGATCATGCATTTGGACGAGCAGGCAGAGACGGATTGCAGATTGGGGCTGTTTTCCGCCCGCATCAGAAATGCCAAAATTGTGTACTTTTGTCACTTAATTTCGCTTCTGACATTTATTTCAATGATTTCAGTAATCTTGATCATGGGTTGAGTCCCTCGTCAGAGAGAGTTCTAATCGAATAAAATCTTAGCTTATAACAATGGCAGCCGTGTCGGGGGTGAGATATGGAAAGCCCACACGACCATGGCAATGGTGCAGTTATTCAATGGCGGCTTTCACGTCATCACCAAAGTCGCCCTTAACGTTGGCGTCAACCAAAACGTCTTCTGCGTCTTCCGCGACAATCCACACGCGGAACAGATAATTGAAACCTCTCTCTCAATTTGGGAAATTGGGAATTTACCCCAAATTCGAAACTAGGTTTTAAAATTGGGAATTTAACCCCAAATTTGATTTTAGGGTTTACAAAATTGTGAGATTATACTTCATTTAGGGTTCTGAATTAAATAGAATCTAAATTTTGATAAATCTAATTTCCAAATACAAACATGAATCAAGTATGGGTTGCTCTGATACCAAGTGTTAAGTTAAACTGTAATTGAATATGATATCAATTCTAATGATCAAACATATATCTATAATCTCATACTGTAAACATGTTATAAACTAAATGCGAAAGCATACCTGATTTGACCATAATGACAATATCCTTTATAGAGCACCTTTGATTTGATCTTTTGGTCTTCCACCTGAAGAGCACTTGTATTTCCCTATTGATTTTCTCTCTTGATGGGGATAGAGAGAAGGAACGAGACTGTAACTTTTTTTGTCTGTGCTTCTCGAAGTGGACCATGACCCTTTAAATAACCAAAATTAGGTTAATTACTTAAGTTTTAGTATTTTCAATTTGGCCCCTCATCAAATTAGAAATTACTCTATGGTCTCTACACAATCATATTTTCATGACATATGCCTTTAGCCAAAACTTTAATTTATTCAGATCACTTTATTATTTGGCTTAATAAATAATGACCCTAACACATTCAAATATGTATCATATATATACATGACCCAAAATTTGCCAACAGGAATTATATGCGAAATCTAGAATTATCACACGTGATCTATCTATAGTTATGTACAAGATGCGTTTAATCTGAAATTATAAGTGATGTACGTTTGTTTGGAGACTATCACTACAAGAAATAATAATAGTGAATTTATCAATAAACAAAATATGTCCATAAGAACAAAAATTCGTTGGTAAATATATATTAATGATGATTTATTGATGAAAAATAATTTGTTGAAAATTTTATTGTCGATAAATATTAATGACGGATATGTTCATCGGAAAGTGTTGTAGGTAATTATTGATGGATATATCTGTTAGAAAGTGTTATAAGTAATTACTAACGGATATATCCGTCGGAAAGTGTTATAGGTAATTACTATATCTGTTGAAAATATTCGTCGGTAATATCCGAATTTCTTCCAGGTTCCATTTCATTTTTCAGTAAATCATTTTTCTTGCATAATTTCACACATTTTATATCATAGGCAACAACAAATCCAGTTCAACTATTTTAGATCAAATTCAACTTAAATATAAGACAAATAACATCAATTGAAATCAAACATAATTAAAATAACCTCAATTTAAACAAATGATATATAGTTCAAACTATCTATAATGAAACTTAATGTGTAAGAGTAACTATGGTTATAAAATAGAATAATATCAAATATAATATTATTTGACAAAATATCTAATAATGAGAATAATCAGGAGACTGTTACCCTTGTTGTGTATTGCCTTGTTGTTCTGAGTTGTCTTGTTGTTATGGGTTGTCCTATTGTTCTTGATTGTCTTCTTGTTGTTGATGTTGTTATTGCTGACTATCATGTTGGTTGTGTTGGCGTTGCTTAATGAGGGATTATGTACTAAGAGGTAGGAATTGAACGATTGCACCCATAAGTGATTGAAACTCCCAAAATTGGTACTCTAGTCTCTCGTTATGCTACCTTGTTCAACGAATCTCTTCTCCTTGTGCAGATAATTGTTCCCTCAGTTGATTCATCTCTTCAAAATCAACAGAGGAGCTGGATGCTTGAGAGTATCAGACCCACTCTGGTAACCATGAACAAGTTGTCCAGCTCCATATAATCTTCCCTTATTAAGATACTTGAGTTTGATGCTTGAGAGTATCATACTTGAATTTAAGCATAAAAACAGTTTAAAAGTTTCCAGAAACCTTAAAAAGAAATAACGGAGCAATAAGACATGAATGACAAACATCAAAGTCCAATAAAACAATCCATTCAAAAGCATAGAAAGACATCAAAGACCCGAACACAACAATCTGGACTTAGTGAGTAGGCTCGAACCATAACCTCAAAGAAAAGAGAACCAAACACTTTAATTAAGACCCAAACCGTAGTTATCCATAATCCAATATCCCCAATCAGACTCGCTCTCCAATACCAAACCAGATATTTACAACTCAATTTAGCCCCAACCCCAGACAACCCACAGATCCAATAAAAATCCAGTTTAAATCCAAAAATCGATCATGGATCAAACAAACCAAATGAAACATTTCAGACAAGATGACGCTTTGAAAACAATTAGAATCACCAAAATTAAATAGAATAATTAGAATAACCGAACTCAAATTACAAACTGTAAACAAAAAATCAAAAGAGAAAGAGAGAAACCTCACTTAGGCCCGCGACCCTTGCTTCTAAACACCAACCTCCAGGTTGACTTGCGGTGGCTAGGGGGCGCGAGTCACGACCAGGGCTCTGCGGTTGGGTTTGGATGGGCTCAGGGCGAGGGATTTTTGGGTGATGGGTGAAGAAGGAGCTTGGGACAGGGTTCACAGTTCCGGCAAGGAGAGGCAGTCCGCGATGGAGATTGAGGGGTACTGGTGGAGGTACATGGGACGACAAGGTGTGTTGCGCGGATGAGACGGTCACACAGTGACTAGGGTTCGCTTGTGGTGACTACGACGGAGATTAGGAAGACGCGGCTCACACTAGGGTTCGAGTGAAGGAGATGGGGGTGCTATGGTCGAGACCCGTGGTGGCTGGTGGAAGCTGGAAGTGGTGATGTTAATCACAATGGAGGAGATGTAGGCGCGGGAGGGTTGGGGCTGATTGTGAGTGGTTGCGAGCGTGGCTAATGTTGATTTTTGAAAATATATTTTAAATATGTCGATAACTAACTGTTAATTTGTCGACGGATATATCTGTCAGTAATTAATAGTTAACTTATCAATGGATATATACATTGATAATTAATTGTTCATTTACTGATAGATATATCCGTCGGTAAAACCAAATTCCACAAATATTTTAAATTCATCGGTAATTTCCGTCGGTAATCAATCATTTTCCGACAACTACATATTCATCGGTAACTATCTGTCAGTAATTAATGGTTTTCTTGTAGTATATTGATGAGATATGTTTAGTTTAAAACTCATCGTGATATATTTGATTTAGAGTTATGAAGATGGTAGGTTCAATCTAAAATTATGATTAAGGTGTGTTTAATTTAATGTTATTATGGATTTATACTCAATTTAAAATTATAATAATATAAAATTATTATTGATATGTATTTGATCTAAAATCACTGTTAAAGTGTGCTTCATCTAAGATTATGATTAGGGAAACTCAATTTAGGTTTATGATCGAAGATAAGAACAATGATTAATAACATCACTTTGAAGGAGTTAAGTTAAAGACAAAGGAGGTTGAAATAATGATATTAAAGATTGAGGAGAGCAATAAAACTCTATCCAAATTAAGGTGTTTAAAGCCTAGAAATAACTTCTAAAGTTTACCAGAACAACTTTAAGAAGAAATTAAGTTAGACTCACGTTATAGGTACTAATATAGATGTACGATTCTTTGATGTAGTTGACAAATATTTAGAAGATGATCAACCTATTTGTAATATTTTTTTCACTTTAGAAACAATTTATGTAATCTTATTCTATTTCAATAAAGTTTTACCTCTTCAACTTTGTATAAATTTATCTTATATTTACTAAGAAATGGTAAGAAAAGAACTAAACATAATTAACAAAAGAGTTAACCAAATTCAAAAAATATAAATGTATATATTATTTAATGATATCAAATTGTTTTTTAAGAAAACTTTACGTCATTCTTATTTAAATTGTAAGTTTATTAAGGGTTAAAATATCAATGACATTTTAGGATATCAAATTTTAAAGACATTTTGAGATGTGAATTTTAACAATATATTAAAAAGTTAGTAATATGTTGAGATATCAATTTTTAATAGCTTTATAGGATATCAATTATTAATGAATACTACATTATCCATAACATATTTAAATACTTATTTTTCAAATAATATCTTGAGAGGATAATTTGTTTGTTAACAATATGATGTTAAAGACATTATTGTGTTTGAATATTTTTTTATGAATGTCATGTACTAAATGATAAAAAAGATTACAATTTTTTTATTATAATAGATTATTAACTTTATTTATATATTATTTTTATCATTATTACAATCATCGTAATTATCATCCACACTATTATATTATTAGAGTGTAAACACCAATGATCGTATTGTAATTTTTATCCTATTCTTAGTTACCTATAAACAAGTCAAAAATTGCTATTATACCGAACAAGTTAAGAAAAGAAAAAAAAGGACAAAGAAATTAAACATGCAATAAGACTTTCTTGTATTAACCGTCACAAAACAAGATGATCGAGGTAATAACAGCTGAGCTGGTTTAGTTCCTATTTATAGACTTGGTCTCCATTAAATATTCATATTCATTAATTGGTATGCTACATCTCTCTCATCCATGGCGATTAATGATACAGTTTTGTTGAATGTAGTGATAGTAATTGGCATGATTTTAGCTGGTTTTGTGGTTACTGTATACTGTTTCATAACCAAGATTTTGTGCAGCCACAAATATGGTATCACTGCCTACCAAAAGGCATTGGCAAAAGCAGCGAGCATGGAAAGGAGAACGTCAGTGTCACATCAGATTCCACCAGCCCACAAGTATGAGAAAAGGAGGCATTATTATGATGTGACTGAAGGTCGCGAAGATGGCACTAGTCAATGTTTTAAAAAAGGGTCTGCAACATTCAATTTTCCAGGGCCTTCACCGCCACAGTTCAACCGCATTCATCCACAACTATTCATGACATCAAGAACAGCGAGGAAACAACAACCAATACCACAATTTACAACCTTAACACTTGTACCTGGGAAACTGTGACTATGAAGCTAATGTATTGCATTTGCAACAAATACTGCAACAACATTCCTTATGTTTTTGTTAAACTTAATTTGCAAATGTAATTTTGCCATTAGGGATGTTCCAAAGAGGTTGTAGAGAACAACAGATGGCCATTTTTCAATAGCATCTGGAAAACTAATTGGGCCCCCAGTAGTTCAAGGTAAAAAAGAAAAAGGGTGATGGTCCAAGAACTAGGGCTTACCAAGTTTATTGGAATGGAAGTACAACAGCCTGTGATCCCTCCACTGTCAAGAGCCAGAGGTATTCGCTGCTCTGTTAAGCCAGCCTCACGCAGTCCCCTCTTGTATAGGAAATCAGGAGATCAATGCCTTCGCACAGTTCACATGGTTCAACTCCGAACTTGGAGCGGGCAGGCCAACATGATACAGCCACCAAACCAACTTGTCTAAGCCAACGACTCGTTCCATCACCTTAAAGCCCCCTCTTGGGTTACAAGCTGACGCCACCCAGCTCGGCTATCCCTCATGCTAGTCAGAAAGATTATAAATATTGGTTTAGTAAATATTCTAAATGATGTGGGACCTTCAAATGACATTGTAAAGAACGGATAACTTAACGGTTTGTTGATCCTCCCCATCAATTTTTCTTCGTGTTAAAAGGTTTCTCCTGTCTATACTTGCTCACCATAAAAGATCAATTGTGATATTTTTCAATTTAAATCTTCATGGATCTCCATGTCGGATCCACCGGTCCATCCTAGGCAAAAAATGGCTAGTCTGATTCGGATCTGTTAAGTTGGACTCACAAAAATTATTTTAAGAAAATACTTGGTACTTTATTATCAAAATTGACCACCAACCTTTATAATACTTACTGAAGCACAAATTGAAAATTGCTTCTCAATACATGTAACTTAAATCTTTTCTAGGATATGATGCTGAAGTTCAGTATAAACAAGGTAATGTGGCAGTTAATGCATTATCCAGATGCAGTTTGTTATGGTCATTCAATAAGATTATCCAATCCTTGCAAGTTGATCAATATATATCTCATTATTCATTCACCAATGATTAATTAAAAACTATCAATAAGGGTTAATTGGTGGAATATTTTCTGACTCAAAAGTCTTTGGAATATTTTCGTAGAATATTCCCACATCTGGCAATCTATTACGCAAATTAGCTTCCTGGGAAAGAAACTTGACAAAGGACAAGTTTCTTATCATCCTTTTCTTAAACCATTTTGATTATCCGCATGTTTGTTTATTAAAAAATGTGGTCCACCACCACAATCTAAATTTGCTCGATAATTATTTACCAACCATCCCACATATTTTACCTTCAACTGTTATTTTTTAAAATGATATTTTGGATTTTTTGTGCAAGTTCATAATTGTATTTAGTTAATGTGCAGGCAAGTTACATAATGCTATTTTAAGTTCAGCCATCAATTTAGTTAGAAAACTGTTACAGCCGTTATAGCTTGATTAACCATTTTACATCAATTCAATATATCTTAATTTCTTCCAGAATTATAGGACAACTTTTGGTTATTTTGCTAAATGTTACTTTAAACGACATAACTACACACTTAATTATCCATAACAAACATAGTACTCTGTTTTGCGCTAGTTCCTCACCTCTGTCATAAATGTTCACATCAGTCAGATATGAAAATTGACATTGCCCTTATGACAAGGGATGTAAAGGTAAACAAGACAAGTAAGTCACTTGTTTAAGGAACAACTTGGTGTGTAAGTGAAGTTGAACAATGTTTAGAAGGTTGTCTATGTAGCCGCATTAGCTTCCTTGTACGACACATCCAATGGATTACCATGAATTTTTATATATATTATGAAGACCTTTCTACCATCAAAATTATCCTCGAAGGAATATACTAACACCTCTTGCCAAAACCGGTATATCATATAGTAGCCATAGTCTCCATATAACGACACTCATTCTTCTGTAAAAAAAAACTCGACAATGGATAATTGTCTAACCACATGTTATTGTGCAAGGAGTTTCTTCAAGAAAAATCAATCTCTTCCCATTGATACGAAATTCAAGCTTCCTGTACCTGTTGCAAATTCTTCTTGGCCTCCAGGTATCCATAATGTGATTCACTGATTGGTCAGAACATAACATATTCGCCCCTTGTTGTGATATGTAGTCTAGTAAATGCATGCTGATCATTGGAAGTGGTAAATTGTTACATGTAGGTGGTGATTTTGCCAGTGGGACAATTGATCTGGGTGGGCTACAGGTGTCTCAAATATCAACATTCAACAAAGTTTGGAGCACATATGGCGGTGGACCGGACGATCAAGGTTTCACCTTGTTTGAACCATCAATACCTCAAGGTTTCTTTATGCTGGGTTGCTACAGCCAACCCAACAACAAGCCACTTTTTGGATGGGTTCTTGTGGCAAAAGATGTGGGTGGAAATACATGCAGCCCCACTTTAAAGCAACCAATTGATTTCACACTTGTATGGAACAGTGCATCTATGAAGATTAGCCAAGATGGTCCTATCTATGTTTGGCTTCCAACAGCACCTGATGGGTATAAAGCTGTAGGCCATGCTGTCACTACCACGCCAAATAAGCCTTCCCTTGACAAAATCAGGTGTGTCAGGTCAGACCTCACTGACCAATGTGAGATAAATTCATTGATTTGGGAATTAGGCGGCTTCAGTGTTTATGATGTTAGACCAAGCATTAGGGGAATTCAGGCTCCTGGTGTTAGAGTAGACACCTTTGTTGTTCAAAATGGGAGTACCAACCCTCAATCTATTGTTTGTTTAAAAAACACGAAAACTATCCCAAAATACATGCCTAATCTGAAACAAATCAAAGCAATACTCCAAGTTTACTCTCCAACTATGTGCTTGCATCCCAGTGAAGAATACTTGCCATCTTCTGTAGATTGGTTTTTCTCCAATGGGGCACTACTATATAAGAAAGGGGAAGAGTCAAATCCTGTCCCAATTTCACCAAATGGCACAAACCTGCCTCAGGATCATAACAATGATGGTGCCTATTGGCTGGACCTACCTGCTGAAGCAACCAACAAAGAGAGGGTCAAAAAAGGAAACTTGCACAGTGCCAAAAGTTATGTACATGTGAAACCAATGCTCGGAGGAACCTTCACTGACGTTGCAATATGGGTCTTCTACCCATTCAATGGCCCTTCAAGAGCAAAAGTTAAGTTAATTTCTTTTCCATTGGGGAAAATAGGTGAACATGTTGGTGACTGGGAGCATGTGACACTAAGGGTAAGCAACTTTAGTGGTGAACTCTGGCAGGTCTATTTCTCACAACACAGCAAAGGTACATGGGTTGATTCCTCTCAGATTGAGTTCCAAAGTGGTGGCAACAAACCACTACTCTATTCTTCCTTGCATGGCCATGCATCATACCCACATGCTGGCCTTAATCTGCAAGGGGCAGATAACATAGGCATAAGGAATGATACTGATAAAGGTAACAATGTTATGGATTTGGGGATATTTGAATTGGTTTCTGCTGAGTATTTGGGGTCTGCAGTTATAGAGCCTCCTTGGCTGAACTATTTCAGGGAATGGGGTCCTAAAATTGATTATGATATAGATGTTGAGCTGAAGAAGATTGAGAAGTTCTTGCCTAAGAATTTAAAATCTGCGTTGGAAAAGATTTTGAAGAGTTTGCCAAGTGAGGTGCTGGGAGAGGAAGGACCCACAGGTCCAAAGGTCAAGAACAATTGGAACGGAGATGAAATTTGAAGATTGTAACCTTTAAATACGATTCTTACGTGTAATAGTGTGTACTGTATATTGTGGGCAATTATTGAATTAGTTAGATATTAGATTGTGTAACTCAAATCAGACAGGAGTTGTTACTCAGATACAATTTACTGTAATAGCTTCGTACATGCTCTCTGTTATAAGCTCTGTCATTTGCCATAATCTTCTGATTAGTAACAATATTATCGAATTGATTTAGAAAGCATCATATATTGCATTTGCTACAACTCATGGAGATACTGCAACAAAATTCATTAATTTTTTTTTTCAATCAAGCAAATGTAATTTTGCTGGAAATTCAATTGAACATTTATTGGATATTATATTTCAGTTGCTGGGTTCTCTATTGTAGGTTTTCTCGTGTCCAGTCTCTCTTCTATTTATGTAGAATTTTATTTATATTTTAATTTCAAAAATTTTTAAATTATTATTAAACATTGATTTTATAACAATCCATGTTTAAAAGAATTATAACAATAAAAATCTTTTAGTTTATTATTAAATATTGATTTAGAATAATCATTATTATTTTATGTGTTAAATAATTTATTTTATATAATAATGATTCAACTTTAACTATGAACCGTATCATAAAAATGTTACTAAATATTATGTGCTAAACATTTTTATAAAACAAATTTTAATTAAATAAAATAAATAAAAATATTTTTTGTTAAAAAATATTTATTATGAATTAATTTGATAAAATATCTATTTATTTTATAATTCAATATAAAAACAAATATCCAATATATATTTATTTTTATAATATAATGATTAAACTGAATAATAATAATAATAATAAATAAATAAATCTTTAACTTTTATTTTAAGAATAAATAAATTTAACATTTTATAATTTGTATATTTAATTATTATATCTTAAAAAAATAAAATTTTATTAATATAATTTAAAATTTTAGATATATATATATATATATATATATTCTTTATTTTTTTAAAATTAATTAATTTCTCTTTAATTTTTAATTAATATATAGATCAAATTAAACTATTATTTTTATTTTTATTTTTTACCACAATGGTTCAGAAATAATTATAACCTGCTGCAGAACACGTATTGATAAAATTTGCAAAAATTGAACTTGAAAGCCCACTTTAATCGTAATCAAACTCCTCATATGTCGTTAAACTATAATGCCAAGATATCAAGTTGAATGCCGGGAAACATGCAAAAATACAACCTGGACAAACAAAATAAGGACAAAATCATATAAATAATCGAAACAAACCAGAGTGTGTTAAATCGATTAACTTGAGTTCATAAAAAACTGACGATCTTCCAAATGCTAAGGGTGCAGAATCTCAAACCAAAATTTCTCAAAACTATAATATGGATTACAAACTGGCTTCTCAAGGACATTATTTCTTGTCTTCCTTCTCTGCTTCTGCAGCTTTCTTTAGACGAGCACCATAGTGGCGTTGGTTGGTGCGTTCAAGACGAAGCTTATAATAAGCTTTGAACGACTTCATTTCCTCCGTTACCTTAACAAGATCAACACTTGGCTTCTCCCTCACAATGGGCAAGAATGGACCCTGAACTTGGGTAGCATTTGCTAGTTCTTCAGCACTAGAATCACCAGCCTGCAAAGAAATATTAGGGCCGTAAAAATCTCAAACTTTTGTAATTTTCCTACTTCCATAGGAATGTTGATGACCATAAAAGCAAACAAAAGCTACTTAATTTCACATTACCTTGACCTTTTGTGCCCGTCTTGGGAACACAACCAACTTGGCCTTGTATGTTTTGAGCCTCTGTACATTAGCCTGCAGACTCTCCAACGAACGGTTCTTGCGGCGATGATCAACAGCAATTCCAATTGTTGGAGCAAGTTTTTTGGGAATTCCAGCACTCTAGCGATATATAAATGAATATTGTTGTCAGGAAGAAAGAAAATGCGATAATTTCTAATGTTTTACAGTTTTTACGTAATTACAGGTTTAACTTTTCTTTTTGTCCCTTTCAACATGAAACATAAAAAATTGAAAGCAAATTGAATGCAAACAGATATAATTTAGAATTTTCCTCTAGCATCTCTGAGTTTACCTTCAATTCTTCAAGAGAGAATCCTCTCCCAGCTCTGAGTTTCATGTTGTATTTCAAAGTCTGACCGTGAACAACAGGCCTGAGAGGTCCTGCAGTTGGCCTGGGGAAAATTTTGACAGCCTTCTTCTGCCGAGCTGGAAAAATGTTTCACCCATATCAAAATATAAAGACAAACACAGAAATCATTAAAAACTCGAGCTGATTCTTGTTTCTTGAAGAAAAAGTACTACGCCAAACTGATTAATTGTGAAAACAGTGTTCAAAAAGTGTAAGAAATTAGGTAAAAATTACCTAATCGTCTTCTGGTCTTCCGGGCGGGTTGATTAAACCAAGTCTTCACATAGTTTTGCCAATGTTTCCGAAAATGTCCACTGGGGATAACATTGTTATGCTTAACCATTGCTTACCTACAAATAACAAAAAATAGATATAAAATAAAAAAGAAAACAACAAGGTCAACAAAAGATCATGTAAACTAGACAAATCAGATCCAAACTCCAATTAACATACTGCCATTATAACGATTCAAAAATTGATATTATGCACGACAACAATACTAGAATCATAACAAAAGAAAAATACCTAATTTTCCATTGGTTATAAAAATCTAGAGGATTATATCAACCATAAACCATTATCATTTTCTACACATACATTGTTAGCGTACTGTCAACACAAAAATTTGCAAAACACAAACCGAAATTTACCTTACTGTCATGTTACTAATATTTATAAGATTGCAAGGTAAAATGAGTAAAATGGTCCTATCTAATTGGACGTTTCTACGAAAATTGTTCTACTCTGACTTTTTACAAGTCAAACTCATAAAACAAATAAATCAGGTTGCACATTGGATCTATCAAATACATATATAAAAACAATTGCTTCACATTTTTCATCTGAGGTGGGAATAGTTCTGTCAAATATAAACCAATCCGATTATTAATCACGTTTCTTAATCACGTTGTGTAGTCCTTTAATTCAAAACAAGCTTCATTACAATGTGTTGGGAGTTCAAGCAAAAATATGCACAATGGCGAGATGACTTCACCATTCATTATAATGATTGAACCAATATTTCAAACAAAATACACTAATTTAATTACTTGACATAAATTAAAAAGTACATAACTAAGGGTTAGGAAATGATATTTCAGCACGTCCCTGAAGAATGTTATCCGATAAAAACGTGTAGATATACGCAATTACGAATCTCACTCACTAGCATCTTTCCAAATCACTAGCATCTTTCAAAATCAAAAGAAACACAACAGAGAAACGGAAACACAGAGAAGAGACACAAACGAAAATATGAAAATGTTAAAAACCTGGTCTTCAGTTGAAACGCCGAAGGTGCTTCCTGTGTGTGGCTGCAGCTGCGGACAGAATATAGGGTTAGTGTTAGGTTTTAAAAGGGTTTCTTAAATGGGCCAACCCAGCCCAATCCGTTTAAAATTTAACAGGCCCTATCAACTTGTTTTGCATTCAAGTAAATTTATAATAAAGTAAAAAAATTAATGTATCCACTTACTTTAGCAAAATAGAGAGAGAATTGTGTTTTGGAGATTTTAATTTTATTTTTTAATCAGAATTGAAATTTAATCCTAATAATTAATAATGATTTTTAACATCAACGTTTATGATGCTATCATTAAAGCAAAACATTAATTTTAATTAGAGAATAGTATTAAAAGCATATAAAACATTGTACTTAAAGTTTTGTCTTTTTACTTGTTACATTATAGAGAAGTATAATAAAAAATAAATAAAATTATTATATACTTTTCAATATTTTATTGGTTGAGAAGTATTAAATTGATAACATGGTATGCAAATAATATGTTATTTTTATTCCGTATTTTCAAATTAATATAAAAGTATTATGTTGAAAAACGAATAAACCATAACAAATTGTATTTCACTACACCCTCAAGATTACCATTTTATTTCTGTATAACCTTTTATTTATAAGACATGATGCTGATTCTCTGCAAATTGGTTTCTTGTTGTGGAATAATTGTTTACTTTTTTAGTTTTTAAAATTTAAATAAATATATATACAATAATTATTTTATTGAAATAATTTTTAAAAACTAATTTTTAAATATTAAAAAAATAAAAACTATTGTTTTTATTAATGGTATCTTCGTCTTTGATTATATATACGAATTGAAATCCTGTCTTAAACAGTTTTGTCAATTTCAATGGACAGGAAAATAATATTGAAATAAAGGTGTTTGTAGAGAACAAAGATACATAATTTTATATTTCTGAACAAATATAAAAAGAAAGAATAATTATTAGAACATCGTACTTTCATATATTAAAAAACATAGTACGTCATTTAATATATATATATATATATATATATATATATATTTTTTTTTTTTGTAATATAAAAAATTAAATCAAGAAAATTATTTTGATATCAGTTATTGGCTTTTATTTCCTTAATCTAAATTAATCAATTTTTATAACATTTTCTAAATTTAAATAATGATAAAATGTTACTGAAAAAAATCATTTTAATATTTTACCTTTCTTTTACTTCCTTAATCTAAATTAAATCGTTTCTAATATCTTAATTTTTAAAACACAAAATTATAATAAACTTCAAAAGAAAATAAGAGAAATATATATTTTTAAAATAAAGGAAGATGAAGTAACAAACAAAAATCAAACAAAATTAAAAAGTGATAGCACAGTAGAAAGAAGCTTCATTTTGTCCGGTTCCTCATGCATTATCCTTGACACAACCTTGCCTCTACGTTGTACTAAATCCTTTTGTTTAGCTTCATAGTTAGATTCCAAATTCCCCAACGAGAACCACGTCATCATTCCATTTTGCACCGTCTAAGGTTCTTTCATTCTCATCTCTCATGTTTTGTTATCATCTCTTTTGCTTTCTCTTTTGATCCTTCTTGACAAACCATTCCTTATCTCTTCTACGCGTAGGAGTACAAAATCACTCACTGTTTTAAGTTTTCCCTTCACTTTCCGATTCTGCGAATTAAAAAAAAAAAAAAAAAAACAGAATTTTCCGTTAAATTTATCAAAGCCCGTGTCTTATCTGGTTTGTCATTCTATTGCCTTCAAAGTTTATTGTTGTCAACCAATCATTTTTCAAGTTTATGGTACCTTCAAGTTCTCATTTCTTAATGGGGTGGTTCAATGATGGTGACTATGTGCGTATTGATGAGTTATCTTCCACAAGGGAAGATCACACGAGGAGAATTTCTGTTCTTCCTCTAGTATTTCTCATCTTCTATGAGGTTTCTGGGGGACCCTTCGGTGTTGAGGATACCGTGCATGCAGCAGGTCCTCTATTAGCCCTTCTGGGGTTCTTGATTTTAGCAGTCATATGGAGTGTTCCCGAGGCTCTGATTACTGCAGAGATGGGTACAATGTTCCCTGAGAACAGTGGCTATGTGGTTTGGGTCTCTTCTGCTCTGGGACCCTTTTGGGGGTTTCAGCAAGGTTGGATGAAATGGCTAAGTGGGGTGATTGATAATGCTTTGTACCCAGTTTTATTTCTTGATTATTTGAAATCAGGAATCCCTGCATTGAGTGGTGGTGTTCCCAGAACTATTTCAATTTGGGCTTTAACTGTGGTTCTCACTTGCTTGAACTATACCGGTTTAACTGTAGTGGGAACGGTTGCTGTTCTTTTAGGTGTTTTCTCACTGCTTCCTTTTGTGGTCATGGGATTCTTGTCAATTCCAGACTTGAAACCTTCAAGATGGTGCGTGACAAATCTTGATGATGTTGATTGGAATCTGTATTTAAATACTTTGTTTTGGAATCTCAATTATTGGGACTCTATTAGTACTCTTGCTGGAGAAGTGGAAAATCCAAGGAGAACTCTTCCTAAGGCTCTATTTTATGCTTTGATCCTCGTAGTTTCGGGCTATTTCTTCCCTCTTTTGATTGGGACTGGTGCTGTTCCCCTCAACAGGGAGTTGTGGACTGATGGGTACTTCTCAGATATTGCTGAGATGGTTGGAGGAGTGTGGTTGAGGTGGTGGCTTCAGGCTGCTGCTGCAATGTCAAACATGGGAATGTTTGTAGCTGAGATGAGTAGTGACTCTTTCCAGCTTCTTGGCATGGCTGAGAGGGGCATGTTACCTGAGTTCTTTGGCAAGAAGTCTCGTTATGGAACTCCTATAATAGGAATACTCTTTTCTGCCTCTGGTGTGATTTTACTCTCATGGCTGAGTTTTCAAGAGATTGTGGCTGCTGAAAATTTCTTGTACTGTTTTGGGATGATTTTAGAGTTTGTGGCATTCATATTGTTGAGGATCAAACACCCCAATGCATCTAGACCTTACAAGATTCCAGGGGGAACAGCTGGAGCAATTGCTATCTGCATTCCTCCCACAATTTTGATTTTCGTGGTGCTGGCTTTCTCCACCAACAAAGTTCTGGTTATAAGCCTCATTGCCGTACTGATTGGCCTTGTAATGCAACCTTGTCTCAAGATTCTGGAGGAAAGGAGATGGATGAAATTCTCAGTAAGTTCTGAGCTCCAGGATCTTGACAATCAAGAGAGCATTCGCTCCCTTGTGGATTAGAGTTGTCTTGTTTAAAGGGAGTCGTAGGGAGAAAATTACACTGAAAATGAACAGAATTTGAAATTGAAATGCATTTTGTCTGGCAACATCCTAAACTGCATATCAATTCTATGAATTAGTCATTACTCATTAGACACTTAAAGCAAAGAATTAGAATGTGTAAGAAACATATTTATTTGCCTTCTATGTATCTATTTTACTCTTAAATTATACTGCTTTCCCATTTTCTTTATCATCAAAACAACTTTTATAGAAAGATGATAAAAGGAGATACAGTAACTTGCTCAGTACCATGCACAGTCTTTTGAATAGGAGCTGCACTGTTCCCATATCTCACTTTCATGGAGAAACTAACCTCACGCGTAGCAAGACCTTTTTAGTCTTTACTTGTTTTTTTCCATGTACTTTCTCTCTTCTGAGTCCATCTTCAACGTTCTTTTTGCTTACCTTATTACTCATCTTAAATATAAGAAATTGTCATTGGAGTTTATGAGGCGGTCCCAAAACAATTATTTTTTTTTAAGATTTTATTAAAACGTATATTATAATCTTCCTAAAAAAATATTTATACGTATTGATTATAAGATTAACTTTTTGTTCCGTCTCTAGAGTTTATGTTTTTACTAACTACATCTTGACGTAACTTTTTTCCACTAGGCTATAGTTTAAAATAAGAATTTTAAAATTAAACTAGAATTTAAAAATATGATAAATTTATTTACATTTGTTAGCTTTTTAAGTATTTTTAAATTAAAAGTTTTTTTTGGTTAAAAAAATTGAAATTTATTTAAAACTTATTGCTTCACTTTTGGCAAATATATATTGATAGAATCAAGCATGTTGTGCAAAATAATTTAACTCAAATAAATTTATTTTAATGATAATTCAAATGTAGAAAAATATCAAAATATACACATCTAACATTTTTAATTTTAAAAATGTCAAAGTTAATTAAATAATTGTATTAAAATTGCAATAATAATAATAATAATAATTATTATTATTATTATATAAGCTGAACTAAATAGATATAAGAAATAATTATAAAAATTAAAATATTTAAAATTTTCTATATTTTCTTTCAATAATATTTTAGAAGATAAAAAATTTTATTTATTAATCCAAAAATGAAAACATATATAAAATATTATAATAAGTAATTAAAAATACTTAATAAATGTATTGTTGCAAAACTTAACTAAAAATTGACGGTTTAAAAAAATATTGAATCTATATTAAACTTGAAGAACAAAAAATATAAGTATTTTTCAAATATGAAAAAATTATTTAACTGTATTATTTAATCATTTAAGTGACATTTTTTTTATTTCGGTCGTGAAGATAAAAACAAAAAAACTATTTCTAAAAAATACATTAAGACTTCACAATAAATAAACATAATTTAAAATAAACTAAAATATGTAAGAACTATTTCATGGAAATTTTAACTGAATTAACATTTTATATAATTTTGTTAGTAATGAAAGTTAAAAAAATGTTTTCACTTAAGGGTCTTGACAACTACTTATAAACATCCGAGCCACAATTTGAATAAAAAAATTTGGAAAATGATACTTTGACAACCTAAATTCATACAACTCTTATAAACAACTCTCTTTTAATATTATAATAATAATTTTCCTTTATTTTTATTTTTATTAAATCATTCTATAGATTATTATATTAATAAAAGTGAGTTGTTTGAAGGGTTGTATGGTTTCAGTTGTCAAAATATCACCACTCAAAAAATATTAAATGTACAGTAATTTTCATTTCATCTTTCGTTTCGAAAATAATAATTTGAGAACCAGAGTCATAGACCCATTTGACAACTCAGAGATCAAAATTTGAATTGATTAAAAATGAGGGTGTGATTTGTAATTTATAAGAGTTAAAGATACAATATTATTAAAATTGAGGGACACTACAAAAAAAACGCTTATTATCTACGGGTAAAATCCGTACGTAATGCATTCACCTTAACAAAATATTTTTATTTATTACAACCCTCTCCCCTTTATATTATATTTTTATTATTTATTATATTTTTGAAACTTTGTGATTTGTAATTTATAAGAGTTAAAGATACAATATTATTAAAATTGAGAGACACTACAAAAAAACGCTTATTATCTACGGGTAAAATCCGTACGTAATGCATTCACCTTAACAAAATATTTTTATTTATTACAACCCCTCCCCTTTATATTATATTTTTATTATTTATTATATTTTCGAAACTTTGAATTATTATTAGATTAAGGGAATTGTCTTTGGCGAGATTCGAACCCATGACTTCGAGTTGGAGGTCGATACTCCAACCACTAAGCTATTAGGTTATTTTGAAAATAATTTACAAATAAATTATATTTATATTTATCCGTGTAAATATATAAATATAAAAAAATACATAAATATAAAATATATATAAATATAAAATATAAAAATATAAAAAATATATAAATATAAAATATATATATAAATATAAAATATATAAATATAAAATATATAAATATAAAATATATTTATATTTTGATATATTTATATATTTATACATTTATATATTTGTATTTATATATTTATATTTTTATTTTTATATATTTATATATTTATATATTTATGTATTTATATATTTATGTATTTATGTATTTATATATTTATGTATTTATGTATTTATGTATTTATGTATTTATGTATTTATGTATTTATATATTTATGTATTTATATATTTATATATTTACATATTTATATATTTACATATTTAGATATTTATATATTTAGATATTTAGATATTTAGATATTTAGATATTTAGATATTTATATATTTATATATTTATATATTTATATATTTATATATTTAAATATTTAAATATTTATATATTTATATATTTAAATATTTATATATTTAAATATTTATATATTTAAATATTTATATATTTATGTATTTATATATTTATATATTTATGTATTTATATATTTATATATTTGTATATTTGTATATTTGTATATTTGTATATTTGTATATTTGTATATTTATATATTTATATATTTATATATTTATATATTTATATATTTATATATTTATATATTTATATATTTATATATTTTATATTTTATATATTTTATATTTTATATTTTATATTTTATATTTTATATTTATATATTTATATATTTATATATTTATATATTTACACGAATTAATATAAGTATAATTTAGTTGTAAATTATTATTAGAATATCCTAATAGTTTAGTGGTTGAAGTATCAGTTTTCAACTTTAAGGTGCTGGGTTCGATTCTTGCTAGTGACAATTCTTTTAGTTTAATATAATTTATCTACGGATAGTAATTCCGTAGGTAATTACCTACGGAATGGATAATTACTCACGGATAGAATTCCGTAGGTAATATCCGTAGGTAATGTACACTTTACCTACGGAATTATCCACGGATTACATTACCTACGGATAATATCCGTAGGTAATGGATAATATCCGTAGGTAATGGATAATTACCTACGGATAGAATTCCGTAGGTAATATCCGTAGGTAATGTACAATTTACCTATGAATTTTCATCCGTGGGTAATATCCGTAGGTAATGTAAAATTTACCTACGGATTTTTATCCGTGGGTAATATCCGTAGGTAATGTAAAATTTACCTACGGATTTGTATCCGTAGGTAATATTCCGTAGGTAATAGGCTTTTTTTTTTGTAGTGGGATGAATTTGTAAAAGGGTCACATATATGTTTAGGGTTTAGGGAAACGAAAGAATCACTCTCTCTCTCTTGCTTGAATTTTTCACCAGTTTCGTCAGAAGCAAGAGCGTGAGTCTTCAATTGAGATCTACTGTTTTCAATTTGAGCAACACGACCTCTTGCGTTTAGTCTTCGACGGTTTTGTGAAAGGTACTGAGTGTTTTCATTGTATGTACTCCTCGACTGTTGCTTTCTTTTCTATTTATGTTTGTAATGAAAATGTTGTTCAAGACAGTTGTTACTTGAGTTGTCATACAATATTAAATGATGCCCAACAAGTGTTTGATGAAATGACACAATGAAGAAGTATCAATTTATCTTACACAAAAGACACACTTTCTTATCTAAAATTTAGCTTTAAGTTTGGAATTAGTAATTTTTTTGCAAATGAGAGGAACTAAGACACTTTGTTTCTTGGATCTTTGATTAATGATGCAAAAATAACATGAAAACAATTATGGGATACATTGATTGAGATGAGTTACTATGCAACAACTAACATAGGGTACATTGACTGACCTAGTTTTTCTTAGATAATGCAATATATGTCGTAGGTGATAGCTAATGTTGTCTATATTCTGCTAGCAAGGGTCTTTTGGAGGTAAGGGTCTTTACACCATAAACCTCTAAGCCAAGTTATGGGTGAACCTCCTTAGCATTTGTTGTTGTTCCTTGGCAATGATAATGTCCTAATTTAGCACTTGTTCATATAGTTTGGTACTTGTTTACTATGAAAATTATATGCTTGAAATGTTAATGTAGATTATTGTTACTTATTGTAGTCTTATATTGTTATACAACATCTAATATTTGCTTTATTAAAATTGTAGGCTTGTAATGTTAGGTTAGGTTATTACAATTGCGTAGTATTTTGCCATTGTAAGGTTAATTTTATTAATTTGTAACCGGAGTAGTTATGGAAAAAAATGTCTGCAAAAAGAGACCGTTGCAACGAGAACAAAGTATGTATATATTAATTATAGGTATTTTTATCAAAAGTGATTAACTAAATATTTAATTTGTTATATATTATGTATGTTATATATGTTATACAAATTATATGTGCAGATAACATTAAGACACAAGGTTGAGACAGAGTATTTAGTTGATATAAATTTAAACATGATTACACGCCAACGAGCAGCTATTAAAGAAACCCCTTTAAATGGTTTCTTTAAATAAAAGAGTCATTGTATAAGAGAACTAGTTAGTTGATGGTCAGTTAGTGATAATTGTTTTAGAATAAAATAATATATTGTCACATTCACCCATTTAAATGTCTGTTTTGTGTTAGGTTTACGTATAAGAGGAGGTAGTTGTTTTACAAGATAGTGGTACATCTTTAGTAAAAGATTTATTTGACGAAGAAGAACAAATAACAGTAACAAACATAGTTCGGAAGCATCAAGAAAAAAAATTTTAGAATGATAAATATGTAGTTGACTTTTGTAGGCTTTAAATCTTACTTGGTTGGAAAGTTTTTTTTTTTTTTTGGTACATTCCGCACTGTTTATAGTGTTCCATTTAGTTTATTAGATGATTTAGAGGCATTGAATGATTATAATTGGTGATATGTTGTGTACGGTCTATTAGTTGATAGTTTGCATTGTGCTAGTAAAAACTTAAATGATCAAAAGAATGTTTCTCAATTGTACATTGCTGGTTGTGTCGGTATCTTACAGGTAACTTTTGTACCTAATATTCAGTGGCGGATCTTCTTGGGAGCTGAGGGGGGTCGTGGCCCCCCCAAAGTTTTCTAACTCTCATGTAATTTATGATTTTGGCCCCCCTAAACATAATGAACATTTAATATATTTACTTGTATATTTACAATTTTATCCTCTCAGCCCTCTCCTCGTTTTGTAACTCTCATATAATTTATGATTTTGTTCCCCTCAAACTTAATGATAATTTAATATATTTAAGTATATATCTAGAATTTTATCTTTTCACTCTTTCATCTTCTTTTTTCCTTTTATATTTATTTATTATTTATTAATAATATATTATTTTGCCCCTCCAAGATCAATGGTCAAGATCCGTCACTGCTAATAATGTTACAGTTCTTACAAATGATTGATTTATTTGTTGGTATGAAATTATTTTGACTTATGACATGGTATTTTGTCATAGATTTGGACAGTGGATCACCTGTCTTTGCCTACTGATCAACAACGAAAGATCTGTTTTCCGCATTTTGTTGAATGATCCAAAGTGAAGGTTCGAAAGTGCATTCAACAAAACGCGAAAAACAGATATTTTGTTGTGGATCAGTAGGCAAAGACAGGTGATCTACTGTCCAAATCTATGACAGAATATCATGTCATAAGTCACAATAATATCATACCAATAAATAAAATCATTTGTAAGAACGGTATCATTATTAGGTACGAAAACAACGTACAATTGAGAAACATTCTTTTAATCATTTAAGTTTTTACTAACACGATGCAAACTATCAACTAATAGACCGTGCACAGTATATCCCCAATTAGAATCATCCAATGTCTCTAAATCATCTAATAAACTAAACGGAACACTATGAACAGTGCGAGATGTGTGAGGAAAATAAAAAATTGTCCAACCAAGTAAGATATAAAGCCTACAAAAATCAACTACATATTTATCATTCTAAATTTGTTTTTTCTTGAAGCTTCCAAACTATGTTTGTTACTGTTATTTGTTCTTCTTCGTCAAATAAATATTTTACTAGATATGTATCATTATCTTCTAAAGCAACTACCTCTTTCCTTATACGCAAAATAGATATCTAAAGGGGTGAATGAGACAAGATATTGTTTTATTATAAAACAATCACTAACTGACTATCGACTAACTAGTTCTCTTATAATGTTACTAGATATTTGCAATGGTTCTTTTATTTGAAGAAACCATTTAAAGGGGGTTTCTTCAATAGTTACTCGTTGGCGTGTAGTCATGTTTGAATTTATATCAGCTATATACTTGTCTTAATCTTATCTGCACATATAACAAATTAAATATTTAGTAAATCACTTTTGATAAAATAATTATAATTAACATACACATACTTTATTCTCGTCGCAACGATATCTTTTTGCAGGCATTTTTTTCGTAACTACTCCGGTTACAAATTAATAAAATTAACCTTACAATGACAAAATACTAAGCAATTGTAATAATTTAACCTAACATTACAAGCTTACAATTTTAATAAAGCAAATATTGGATAGTGTATAACAATATAAGACTACAATAAGCAACAATAACCTACATTAACATTTCAAGCATACAATTTTCACGTTAAACAAGTACCAAATTGCATGAATAAGTGTTATACTAGGACATTATCATTGTCAAGGAGCAACAACAAATGCTAAGGAGGTTCACCCATAACTTGGCTCAAAGGTTTATGGTACAAGGACCCTTACCTCCACAAGACTCTTGCTAGCAAAATATAAGCAACATTAGTTATCGCCTACGACACATATTGCATTCTCTAAGAAAAACTAGGTCAGTCAATGTACCATATGTCAGTTGTTGCATAGTAACTCATCTCAATCAATGTATCTCATAATTATTTTCATGTTGTTTTTGCATAATTTATCAAAGATCCAAAAAACGAAGTCCCTTAGTTCCGCTTATTTGCAAAAAAATTACTAATTTCAAACCTAAAGCTAAATTTCTGATAAGAAAGTGTGTTTTTTTGTGTAAGATAAATTGATACTTCTTTATTGTGTCATTTCATCAAACACTTGTTGGACATCATTTAATATTGTATCACAACTGCCTTGAACAACACTTTTATTACAAACTCAATCAAACATGAACAAAAAACAACAGTCGAGTACATACAATAAAAACACTCGAGTATCTTTCGCAAAACAGTCGAAGACTCAACACCAGAAGTCATGTTGCTCAAATTGAAGACGATAAATCTCAATTGAAGACTCACGCTCTTGCCTATGACACTAACAAAACTGGTGAAAATTTCAAGTAAGAGAGTGACTCTTTTGTTTCCCTAAACATATTTATAATCCTTTGATAAATTCATCCCTCAATTTTAATAATATTGCATCTTTAACTCTTTTAAATTACAAATCAAACTTTCATTTTTAATCAATTCAGATTTTGACCTGAGTTGTCAAATGGGTCAAAGTATTGTTTTGGTTCACTTAATAATTCATGATCATTACTCTAAATATGTGTATGTGATGAACCAAAAATGAATGCATGGGTAGTACGTAGCATGGTGAAGTGTGAGGGCAAAACAAAGAACAATTACATAAAGAAGTTATACCTTTTATGTAATTCAAGTTCACAAAACCCATTTACGTGAGCAAACCAAAACATGCATATAAGTAATAAACAAGGAATTGTTTCTTTGACAAGAAAACACTATCCACACCTTATATATAAACACAGATACAAAGAATATTTAAACAAAACAAATTCAATTCAAAGCACTGAGCCAGAATTTTAAGAGATTTAACCTATAACATATTGTAGGGCTATGGCTTTCAGTCAGAGAACACCAACTTTCCGTCCACAACTTTCTGTTCGTCGCGTCTACGAGACTTTGCAGCCTCGATCAGAGGCTAAAGAACTCCCAGAAGCTTACCTTCTGCATATTTATCTTCCTGGTTTGCAAATTGTCTTCTTTTTTTTCCTTTCTTTTTTAATTATATATTTATATATTTCAAAATTAATTCAGTTTATGTGAAGCTATTTGCAAAACCGTATACTTCTGTGTATTTTAATAAACATTTTCTTTGCTTAGGACAAAAAGAAATGATTGTAAGTAGATTTACTTAATATCATAATTGATAACGTAATTGCGTAGTTTATCATAATATATACTGTTTTGAGAGTAATTACGATGTAATTGTTTAATCACTTCTGAAACATGAAATAATTTTTGTGTGTTGAGTTTAATAGTATCTTTCTCACCTAATTTTACAGGTTTTCCAAGGGACAGTGTAAAGATTACATATGAGGCCTCTTCACGAACCGTGAGGATTTCTGGAGAAAGACAAATTCAAGGCACAAGATGGCACCGTATTGACCAGTCATATCCCATTCCTGATTATTGTGAGGCAGAGGCACTTCAGGGCAAGTATGACGCTCCAGTTCTCACCCTTACAATGCCAAAGAAGTCCACAACCAAATCACAAGCTGCTCCTAAACAAGTGGGAACATCCCAAGACAATGGTGTAGAAGCTGAATCAAAGCCTGGTGAAAAAGTCCAAGATGTTACTCCACCACAACCTACAACTACAACTAAAGTGGAAGAACCAATTGAAGACAAGAAAAGTGCTTCACCAACAAGCCCTGACTTCAAGGCACAAAAAAAGGAAGACACACCATCTCAAACCCCTTCAAAACCAATTAGGAACCAAACGGGGCAAGAGGAAGCTGTAGAAAGAGTTGGTCCTACTGCTGAACCTCAAACGGGTGAAAAGGAGTTGGAGCAAAAACCACCAAGGGAAGCCACAATGCAAAGAGATGAAAAAACTCAAAAGGATCAAGAGGGGGTTGTGCCAAAATCAACACCAGCAGTGCCAACTATAATGGAAACAGATGAAAAGCCACAAAAGGGTCAAGAGGAATTTGGACGAAGACCAACAACAATGCTAACCAAAGTCAAAACAGCTGAAAAGGACCAGAAGGGTCAAGAGGAATTTGAACCAAGACCAACACCAGCAATGCTAACCAAAGTCAAAACAGCTGAAAAAAGTCAACAGGGTCAAGAGGAAACTGAACCTAAATCAACACCAACAACGGAACCGAAAATCATCACAGATGAGCAACCTCCAAAGGGACAAGCGGAAGGTGAGTCAAACCCTGCAATAACAAATGTTACCAGAAAGCCAACAATTAAAGGGCAATTGGAGGAAAAGAGGACAGAAGAAACAAGTGCTGAAGATGCTAAGAAGGAAAGGACCTCAAAGAAGGAAGCTAAAGAGGAACCTTATGAGTCAAGAAAGCCTGCCAAAGATAAGGAGCAGGCTGATTTTGAAGAGAAAGAAGCTGAAACAGAAAAATTTATAGCAAACGAAGCAGAAACTTCTGCTGCAAAAGTTCAGAAAAAAAGGGAAAAGAAATCAAGCAGCAGAACTAGTCACAAAAAGGCAGGGAAGAGTGAAGAGAATGCAGTTGAAGGTGTTGGCTGTGTCTCCCAGGTTTTCTCAAAAGTAGGAGAAGGGATATTGAATGAGGAAGAGAAAAAATTAGCAGCAAATATTGGTGCTGCAGTTCTGATCATTGCTGCATTGGGATATTATATATCTTATAGGTTTACCTCTTGAGGGAGAAATTCAAACATGTTGTAATCAATGTATGCTTTCTCACACTTGTACAGAAGGATAAACTGTAACAAAAATCATGGTGGAATAAAGAGTTAATGTTTAGATCTTCTCAAACACCATCTTGTGATCATGAAGACTAATATCGACGAAGACAATCACATCACAGAAAAGAGTACCCGAAAAACCGTAACTAAGCTTCGAATTATCCTTTTAATAATGCTCAAAGCATTGCTTACTAACAAACATTACTCAAGCCAAGATGTCCCACAACCACTAAAAATCCGCGCATCATTTTTTTAATGAATCGTTTAAATTTAACTTAAAAATAAAACAAAAATAAAATTATATAAACACTTTTTATTAATGAGACAGAGAGGAGACATAATTTGGATACAATTTAATTTAATCCAAATAATAATATCTCACTAATTACGTGATTTTGTACTAATCATACCAACGTAATTCTTATTTTAAGTAAAAAATTAATAGAAAATAATCTTAATTATATATTAACTTTGTAATATTTATACCATAATCATAGTTTCTTCATATATTATTTTAATAATACTTTTATTATTACACTTTTTTTTTATCAAATTTATAGTTATTTAATGATATTTATCTTTTATCTGAAATAGCAGTTATATTTGTTATATAATTTTCACATTACTTTTTTTTTACTATTATTTTTAATTTTTATTCTATCATTATTATAATATTTATGGATGAAATATATATATATATATATATATATATATATATATATATATATATGACATGTTAATTATGAAAAAAAGCATAAATACAATTTTTTTATATCTATAATTTAAATTGGAATAATCAATGGCAAGTGGGAACTAATATTGTGCATGGTATTTTATGAAAGTATATATTTGAAACTTTAAAATGTTAACTTTTTAAATTTTATTGGTAAAAATATTTCTGTGATGAATGAGCACTAGACATTTATCTTTAAAGCTTTTTAACATTTTAATGTTAAAAAAATAATAATAATAATAATAATAAAATAATAATAATAAAATAATAATAATAATAATGAAATAGTACGTGACGAATAATTTTTTTTCCATATGTTGGTTATCATTTTTACCTTCATTTTTTATATAAAAAATAAAATTAGGATGTATTTTCGTATTTATATAATATTTTGTAAAAAAATATCAAAATTTAAAATACTGACATTTATAGTTTTATTAATATAAATAATTAATTTGTTTGATCAAAACTATTTAATGATAACCTGTATAATATTTTGTATATTTTCTTTTGTTTAAAAAATGAATTTCAACAATTGAAATGATCATTTAATTATTATTGTTATTATTATTATTATTATTATTATTATTATATTAAAAATAATTTCTAAGATATTTATTTTCAATTTTTAAATTCATTTTTATTTATTCTTGCATGAACATGGAAATAAAATTCTGTAACATGCTTATGATTTTGCATTAAAAAAAATTAGAACACTATATATCACGAAAAATTAATTTATTTACCCTTAAAATTGTTCTACATGATTTATTAACTTTTTTTATATGTTTTGATTATTTCATCGTTTTCTTTTTATTATTTTCAAATAATAAACATAATTTGCATTTCCATGGAAATTTTGTGAAATATATACATTTTAATAAATAAATATATATATATATATATATATATATATATATATATATTACCTTATCAAACTATATTTATCCTTTTAAAAATAAGACAAAATACAAAACCAATTAGCTATGAAATAATTTTATAATTTATAAATATTAATGTAGTTAATATTTTTTTATACAGGATTTTGTATCATATTTTTATTTTATATTCTTTTAGCAAGTTCTTAAAATTTTGAAATTAAACTTGCATGACCATCATATACTACATAAGTAATTTTTTAATTACAAGAAATTAAACTAAAAATATTTTAAATTTAATTAATTAATTAAAAGTTATGGTTTTTACTTTTTTATATGTTTAACAGACTTAGATTCACACTTAAATTATCCAATCATCTCCTTTTCAAAGATAAGTCGCTCTACACTATGAAATCTTCTCAAAATCGTTAATAATTTTTCTATGTCCCGTCATTTATCATAATAAATACTTGATTCACTGTTAAACTATTAATTATCACATAATTTATAGACTCTATATTATTATTGGAAGACAACACATATGAGTCACACATACAGAGATCAAATTACCTTTCTTGAATCTTGTTTACTCAAATTTTAATTAATTACACGTCAAATTAATATGTTAAAAGGACTCTGTACCCTATCTAAAAATGATGAAAAGCGTTTTGATTAATCACATAACATTTTAGTATTTACAATTTTAAAAAATTAGTTAATTGAAATGTGTATTTCTTTCGTATTCTTCTCTTTTACAAAAATAAGTTGTATACACTTTGTAAAACTTAAATTATATTGATTTTCGTGGTAAAAAGGCGTATATATTATAAAGCAAACAATTTAAATTTGATCTCCTAATCTTTTACTCCTTAGTTAACAAATAAAACATAATAAATAAATGTTTGTAACGTTGAGATTTTAGTTTTCTTTTATTTATTAATATAAATCTGAGAAATGAATTGTATTAGATATTTGAAAATGAATAAAATAGTTAAAACGTTATTCTCAATTTCTATGGTGTTTTTTTTACTAATGTTGTTCTTTAGGCATATTAAAGGTGTTGTGGCATGCAAGAAAATTCCCAAGTTTTCATTGATAGTTAGAACTTAACGAATCTGTATTGAAGGAGAAATCTCGTTGTTGTGAAGAAAAGCAAAAGAAAGCTAAGACATCCTATAAACATTTTATGTACTGAACTTGAAGACTTGCAAGCTCTAAAGAAAAAGGTTCATGTTCTAGGTTAGAAAGAAAAATTGGTAATTCATCCAACCTCTAACCCATCAAAAATAAGATGAAACTATAATTAAACTATAGACCTTGATCCAGAAGGATTAACAGGTTCACAAACTAGTCCATCATATTTTTCCTTAAATTAATTTATTTATCTTTTTTAAATCAATATTTTTTATAAATTTAAAAATAAAAATATCATTAATTTGACAACCTTCAACGTATATATTTTAAATTAATAATATAAATTGTTGTGTTAAATTAATTTAGAACAATCAAATTAAGATAAATTTATATAATAATAAATAATAACAAAATAAGTAACTATCATTATAACTTCTAAAATCTCTATTTTTCTATAAATATCCCATAAAAAAATATATTCCTACAAACATGTTTCCAAATGTCCAAATTTAATACATACCTCATATATGTATAGCTATCATTTTAAAATAGATTCCTATTTTATCTTCCCAAAAAATGATGTACTACCAATAATTTCACAGGCTTTCTGTTCGCATTCTAGTTTGCCCCATCTTGCATCAACTCGTTCACACGGGAATACTGGTTTGCCAAGGCTGTTTAAAAGAACATCACTTGTCATGCAAATCAGAAGCTAAGTTTGTTTGCATAAATTTCTTCACAGACACATAATAAGAGAAAAATAAAAAGAAAAGCTAAGATAATTTTAATTTATGAGAGAAACTTAATTCCTTTTCAACTTCTTCAAAAGTTAATTTAATTTATTATAAGAAGTTTATTTCAATTCTCTTCTTATTTTCTTTCCTACAAGCTTTTATAAAAAAGTTTATCCAATCATGACCTTAGCTTTGCTAAGGCTGACAGCAGCAACTTCAGCATCAAGGAACTCATTTATTAGATATGATGCATTTTCTATATCACAAACACAACCCTTCGGGCTTAATGCATGGACAATGCACAAATCTATTTTACCTAGTCAAAATTCAACTTTATTTACATGGTGTGCCAAGGATCAATCAATATATGTAGAACAGAAAATGTAGCAAAAACGTTTGACAAAACCTATCAGTTATTTAAGCTATATATAAAAGGGATTCTTTGTTTTCAGGTATCAACATAACAAGGTCTTCTTAATTACTGGCAATCTGTTGTATAATACACAAATTTTAAAGGAATACAAATTTAGAGCATTTCTTAACTCTAAACTTCCAGTTTTAAAGGCATATTTTGTCCATACAGCAGAAAATCAGGCCGGAAATTTTGAGCAGGACATACCCATTGACATCTAATAGTGGCTTACAATGACAAACCATGAGCAAAAGATGGGTTGAGCTATTTGATAAATGATATGTTGGTAATAATTACATCTTAGCAACCATAACGAGCAGAACTTACCTTCTATTAACAACGTTGTGAACATGACACAACCACTGAGAAAATTCAGCATGTGACCCAGTCTGTACAGGATTTGCTCTGCCAAACATGTAAAGAAGCACATAGGTAAAAAGGTAAATTAAAACAGAAATTTTGAAAGACTAACATGCAAATAAAGCAACATGTTAAGCAGCTGAATGATTTACTAACATGAATCTCTGAAACAGGATATAAAGATCCATAAGGTCAAAACATAGTAGTAGAAAAATTTGACCTTTATGTTGTCAGGTTAAATCATAGTCACAGACAGTTGGATATAAAGTACTCGATAATGATGCAAATACATACATGTGCAAAATTCAGATAAATGAGTATTTGGGGATATCCTCTTGTAAAGAAGGCATGGATTTGCGTATGCTAAATTAAAGTCATCTTATCTACTCAGTATTGCTGCAAAAGGACCTTGATAGAAAACAAAAATGTCAGGACTAAATAACTCTATTGGAAAAAAAAAAAAAAGTAAATAGGGAGGTAAAACACAGACAAGATGTCTGAATTCATTATCACAGGCAAAAATGTCATTTTTCCAATGGTCAAAACTCTGGTAGATTATTGTACTTCCATCATAACACAATGAAGTTATAAAAAGTACAACTATCCGAATAGAAAAAATAAATTAATAAATGAATAAAAGGGGGAGAGAGCAAAATCAAAATAAACAATCATAATCACATATGATTAAGTGTAGGATAAAGGAGTGAGGATTGATATACCTAAGAATTTCTTTAAAATGATCTGCACATTCCCTGCATGGATACATTCGAGATAAGATTTGCACCTGTGTAATAATTACATACGGTTACACCAAGTTTTTTTGTAATCTACTTGAATAACTAAATATCCCTACTACCATATGACGGAAATTTTGACAAAGTACATTGTTTATCTTAAAGTCAAAACCTGGTTAGAATCTGTGTTAGATCATAAGTTTAGAACAAGAATCCACCTTACTTTAAGGATAAGGACAAAACACACACAAACACTCGTCCCACACACTTATTGTCAGGATAATATATTTTCATATTCACATGATAAATCAGATATCGTAGTTTTGGAACACAATACCATAAGATAAAAGAGAACAAGGATTTCTTCTAACAAGTACAACAAAAGACTCAAATAGAATCATAACATGTTCTAACTACTAACATTTGGGTGAAATTCTATCATTTATATCTACAGACAAAGGAAGTAAGGTAGATACCAGTTCCTTTACATCCCTCTTCTGCTGTCTTGTAGGCTTATCTGGATACTGAAAAGAGAACAAGGTTATTCAGAACTCTATATTGGAAATACTCTAAGATTTTAATTTTGTAGTTTCAGTTGGTGATAAGACAACAAAATTAAACCTGTTTACCACATGAATAAGAAATATTGGTTATCTTTTTTCTTTTTGAACATCCTCAGATACAAAAACTGCGAAACAATGAAACCTAATGTTATGCTGTGTGATTCAACTTGAAGATGAATGTAACAGCATGTGAAGAAGTGTAGAGAAGTTGAAAAGTAGCAACACAGATGAAACAGACTTGCAGAATGCATGGAAACAAAAAGGTTGAAGATAACCAAGTTGAAATTTTAGCATGGCAGGTAGAACATCATGATAATGATGAGAGAAATGGCGGGAACACAATATAGCTTTTAAATGGAGAATATGAATTACATAGGGATGCACCATACCCAAGTCTGGCTATTAATCATGTGAAACTCAGTTAAAATAGCGTCCTATAAATAAAGCAATTAAAAAAAAGGGGAGAAAATGGTTGGCACTCACTAATACATTTGTCTCCTCACATAAAATAATTCAATATTTACGAAACAGGAACAACAATTTGGTGCATAATACATGACATAACTAGATAATTAAGAGAAATGGTGGAATTAATATCAATAGTATCAGTACAAATTACAGTGACAAAACCTGAGCTGCTAGAGTGTGAAGTAGAGTCCAAGTAGCCCTTCCAAGCTCTTCTTTAGGCACTGGGGTAGTAGACTTTCCCTATAGAAACAAAATGCTTATTAAAAGTAAATCAATTGGCGCTTTTCATATGCATAAAGATACCTCTGAACATATGAATCCTTAATGAATATAGTATTTGACTCGAACAACTATCTAACAAGGCTAAAAATAAATCACTATGTTACATATATACCAACAATATAGTGACATCCCCCCTCCCGACCAAAAAAAAAAATAGAGAGAAAAAAACACTAAGAAAAGCCTCAATCTAGCACTCTACGCCTGCTATTTGAATTAGCACTGCTATTCAAAACTTTGAAGCAGCCCGTGACCACTTTGCACCATAAAAAGAAAATGCATCAAAGGCCTCAGTATTCATAGGTTTCCTGAGAAACCAAGTTAGTTATAAAGGAACATCATTACACACCAATGTAAATAGGATCTTAACTTCCTACCATTCCAAAAATGGAAATCAAGAGTTCAGTGATCAGCTTCACCTCCACTTCTCCCCTCTCATCTTCGCAAATAGAAAAAGGTAAATTTAGTTTCTAACCAGTGAAGGAAAGCGTCCAACAATCAGGCAGACTTTGTTAGTGTACCTTGAGATAAATAAGGTTTGCAAAGTAGCAAAATAATGTTTATTAAGAAAAGAAAACCCTTAACACCTCATAATATGCATGTATCACAAAGACTTCCCAAGATGCCAATTTTACCATTCACACTGCTATTAGAATTTGTCATTCCCAGTCATGGGAAAGAAGACGACCACATTTAATGCATTATGTACAATAGCAAATTATAAACTTTATCTCGGTAAATCAAAGTATGAATTAAAATAAAACATTTAAAAAAGAAAAAGAAAGTAAAAAGTATTCATATTCAACTAGAACATAGGAACAATAGCAGATTCTAATTCAGAAGCACAAAAGCCAATCACAAAACCACACTCAACTGGTAAAAGAGGCACAATAAAAATTGACATTGATGATATGGATACCTTGACAGCAGTATCATCAAGTTGTACAGAAGATGTAATTTTGGCAAGTGGAGATTTCGTGGAGGAAGAGATAGAGAATAGAGAGCCACTACCAGGGAGCCCTGATGACTGAAGATGAGGACCTATAAAATTAGAGAGATGATGTTGAACAAAATTTGAGACTTGCTCAAAGTTATGAAACAGGGCCAGCAGTGGATTCACAGGCATTTTACCTGAAATATGAGTAGGAGACAGAATAAGAGAACAAAACAAAATAATCACACTAAGCAAAGCTCAACATCAAAATAAAACCCCATACAATATATGTATCCACTTTGTCTCAATCAAATTCTGATAAGAACTCATTAAAAGTCGAAAAAAAAAGTAAAACAATCGTGATTCAATTTTTTATTTCATTATTCTTTTTGTAAAGACAATATTAAAAACAAAAGATTGGAACTAAAAGTCGAGAATTCATTCAAAAATTGAATGAAAGCTGTTCTAATTTTTTTTCCACCACAGAATGTGGAAATATGGTGTGAAATCCAATATAAGTAAAAAAGACATGACAGTCAATTTTACTTGGAAAAAGTTATTGCGAGTATTCCTAAGGGTATGTCTTTGAGCAATTACACTCCATCACATAACTTGTTACTCCTCCTCAAATTCAATTCATCCCTTAAAGTCACTCAATCACCTTTTCAAACATTCAACATAAGTACATAAGCATACCTTTATTCTACCAAAACCAACAATACCCTAAGAGATATACGTAACGAAAGTATACACCATCCTGAATTTTAGCATAATCGATTAGGCAAATATGATTGTTCAGAAAATTTCAAATTCTTGACAACTTGTTAGAACACCAAACTAGATTTCATCCATTCACATGTCACTGAAGCATAATTATCAGGATTGAAAGAACTAACAGCAGCGCATACACCTTTAAGCTACAAGACCTGGAAACTAATAACAAACCACATATAAAGAACTGTAGCTTGCATTTTCTCAAACATATTAGTGCATTTAGTTAACTAGCACCCAAGTCAGACTAAAGTCATGATTTAGAATGCTGTACATCTTACACCATTCACAATTTCACACACAATCTACTCAAACAATTTGAATTGCATGCAAAGGTCAACAAATTTCAAAGGCTTAAGCTAAAGAAACAAGCTTATATTTGTTTACGCGTTTATTACAATGTATTGGGATTTCAAACATAACATAAGCACAATGTGAGACTGACCTCACCATTCAATATAATAGTTGTCATACAAAATACATCAATTTAATTAATTGGCATAAAATAAAATAAAATACAAAATTAGGGGTTAGAAAATGATATTTCAACACGTCTCTGAAAAATGTTATCTGGTAAAAACTAGAAGGTATACGCAATTAAGGATCTCACTCGCATCTGTCAAAACCAAAAGAAACAAAGGAGAAACGGAAACACCAAAAAGAGACAGAGGGGAAATATGAAAATGTTAAAAACCTGGTCTTCGGTTGAAACGCCGAAGGAGCTTCTTGTGTGTGGCGGTAGCTGCGGGGAGAGACAATTAGCAAAGAGAAGGGTTAGTGTTAGGTTTCGAAAGGTTTCTCAAATCGAGAAACAACCACTTTGCTTTGGATTCAAATACAGATATAAGATAGAATCGTCAATTATTTCCATTAAAATTAATAAAAACTATTTAATCCTAAAATTAAAATAAAATTGTTAAAATTAACTCTTTACCTTCTAATATTTTTTTCTATTTTAACTAAATTTTTAGGATTAGTAATGTGCTCACTAAATTACGTTTCAATACTAATATATAAGAAGATATTTATAACAAAAGATTAATAAAAATGAAAATTATATTTAATATTTATTTATTTATTAATAATTAAAAATACACACTTTAAATGAAAAAAAAACATTTAATCCCATAATATTATTGTAATATCGGACAGTAATTGTTTTTTTATAAATAATAAAGTAAAAATTTATATTCACTTACTTTTAGAAATATATTTAAAAATTGTGTTATGGGAGTGCTAATTTTAATTTTATATTTAAAGAATAATTTAAAGCCTATAAAATATTATACTTAAGTTTTGTCTCTTACCTTTTTCAATATTCGGATTTTCTTATAAAAATTAAAATGCAGCCTAACTTTATATACTTTTTGTAATTTTTAACTTTTTACAGTTTCTTATAGAGAAGTTAAATAAATTAAAACTATACTTTTTAATATTTTATTGGTTGAGAAGTAATAAATTGATAACTTGGTATACAGATAGTTTGTTATTTTTATTCTATATTTTTAAATTAATATAAAAGTATTATTAAAAAAAATAAACTATACAAATTTTAATTTTAGTACATCTTATTTAAAAAACTTAAACAAATAAAGAAGTGTAACAATAAAACCCTCAAAATCTATATTTTACTAAAAAAAATTTTATTTATATAATAATATAAATAAATTATAATTTAAATAAAAAATAAATAATGTATTAAAATTTGACAAACAAAATATATTATAAAAATCTCTTTTATGAATTAATATAATTATAAAATCATTAATTTAATTTACAAATTAAATAGTTTAATAATAAATTTTTAACTAATTTTTAAGAGCAATATAATATTAGTATGAACTATATAGGAAAGCTTAGTAAGATAATTCTTAAAATAAAATATTAAATATAAATGAAATTACACCTTTTCTTTTAAATTATATTTTTTTCATTTTAAAAATATTTTCAAAACACATATTTTTATAAAATACTTTTATGTTCCTAAAAAATACTCAAATCCATAACTAATAGTTTTCTATTAAGTGTAAAAATTATTCCTTAAATTTATCTAAATTTTATTTTCAATAGAAGATTGAATATTAAAGAATATGTCTCTTTTTTAATAATGGACCAATGCTTTTGAGCATCCGACACTGAACAAGTGATATATAAATATTTAAATTTCTAAATATCTTGTCTCATTTCTATTACGCAACAAATTAGTTTTTTTCATTTTATGGGAAGTGAGTACACATTTTGTTTAGAATCCTTTACAAATTTTAATTATTTTCACTATGAGCATACAATAATTATATTAAATTAACACATAGAATGTAATTTTAATTTTTTAACTTTAATATTAGTTTAAAAGATCTCGTTATCTTGCAAAAATTTAAGGTCTAGATTCATATTCCTATAAAAAAACAAAAATGTAGAGTCTTATGAGCAAAGCTCACTCATAAGATAATGTATAAATTACAAAAATATATCATTACATCATTGTTATTAACCAATAAAATCCAATTCACTTTTCTTCTTGCTTTTAATCATTATTTTCAATAATTGATATCAAAATAGGATATCGAAACACTCATTCGGGCATAACATTTTTTTCTATTAATTCTTTATTAAAACATCTACTAATTTTCTACCTTTTGAAAATTATTTTATCATATATAATTCACTTGTAGATTTGAATAACATAGTTATTGAGGATTTAATTAATCACTCTATCAAGGGATAAGAACATGTTAGCCTTTCATATAAACTAGCCAAATTGAAATCAAGTAGCCTAGGATAATTATTATTCACTAAAATATATATGTATTATAAATAATTTGATAAGTGATTTACTTATTCTAAGAATAAATATTAAAATAAGTATCTAACAATCACTTATTCAAATGTTTAATGATTAAGATTAATTATTATTTTAAGTAACTTATTCTAATATCTAATAATTAAGAATAATTATTATTTTAGATTATTAAACTACTAAAAAAACAAATAAATAATGATAGTAAAAAGTAAATTTTAAACTTTTGAGATTGAATGAATTTATTCTTTTATAATTTATATATTAAATCATTATATTTAAAATAAAAACTAAATTTATTAATATAATTTAAATTTTAAAACTATTTTTCTATGTAGACATTTTTTAATTAATTGTTTTCGGATAAACATATTAATATTTTCTTTCAATTAGGTCAATATTGACTAATTAGTCCGTTGTTCTAATATAGAGTCAAGATAAATATTATACTCCGTTTTAAAAGATTTGTCAAGTTGAAACATTAGTTTTTTTTTACTTAATCTATAGATTCGAGGTCAAATTGGATTGGACCGTCTGTTATAACAATCATAGTCTTTTCAATTATAGAACTTTGCTTTGAATATAAGGATTTTACTTCTTATCTCAAATATTGGTTAACATGAGATTTATTACCCTTTATGTCTTAGAAGGATAAAGGATAATTCTTTGGGAAATGACATTTGTTATTGTAGATGAAACACCTTTAATCCTGAGATATCCCTTTGGGATTCTCTCTTTTATAAAGAATTTGAATGTCACTAGTACAAAAAGGGGCTTTTACGTCAGGTATTTTGGGTTTTTTACGTCGTATGTAAGACTGACGTTAAAACGGGAGACGTAAATTTACGTCGGACCCCTTAACTCGACGTAAATTTACGTCCGTTATCGAGACCCGACGTGAATTTACGGTGCATATACTACTAAACAGACGTAAAAAGTTTCAAAAAAAAAAAGTAAATTTACGTCACGTATACCAATATACGACGTAAATTTGCTCTTTTTATAAAAAAAATTGGGTTTATTTTGTCTTACAACTAAAACCCGCAAATATATATTACAACCAGGACAGTCCAAAGGTTCAAGTTTCTTTAGCTAGTAAATTAAAAATATAATATTATATATAATTCAAACTACATAATAAAATAATATAATACAAACATACAAATTAAAATATATTACAAATTAAAAGTTAGTACAAATTAAGCTACCTAAACTACATAATACACACAATATAATATGAACAATAACCTAAAAAATTAAGTACTAGAATTGTTGAACGAAAAACCTTGCACATTGTTCTCTAATTTGTGTAATATCATATTCTGGCAATGAAGATGAATCTTGAAATACCTGAAACATTAATTTGACTCTTATAAGCATGCAACATGCATAAAGTTAAATAAACTTAACTAATGTTGAAAGCAATTACTTCCATCCAAGAATCAATTATACCCGCACAAACTATGACTCTCATCCAATACATAACATAGTAACCACATTCAAATGAGTCTGTTTGCTTATTACACTGAAATAATGAATAAAACATAATGTTATTTTCAAATTTTAAATACAAACAATAATTATGGTATTCACTTATATAAATAAGTTTCTAACCTTAGGATAAATGAACTGCAAAGTCTTTGTTTTAGGTTTTCCACTTAGAACATTAGTTCCAGACACGATTCTAAGTGAAAAAAAGTCATATATTATTCAATATGTATTTACAATTTAAAAACATAATTAATGAATAAAAGATAAAGTTACCCTTGTAATAAGCTTTTCATTTCTTGACTCGGTTTCCGATGTAATGAACAAAACCACACCACAGTGTAATCTCGGGGCATGATTACAATTAACTGTCAATGAGACCTACATTATATGACATAAAAATTAGTTATAAAAATATAAATTAAAATATTAACCCTTCAATGTATGGAGCTAAATATATATGTCTTTTTGAGTCATTCATCAATGTTTGCATATATTGTTGGATTCCAACCTTTGTATTTCCAGATTTTTGGATGGATTGAGGCTCAATAAATCTGTATACTTCAGATTTTTCTTGTTCCACACTCAATTTGTCAATGTACCTAAAACAATTAATTATAAGTTGAATATAATTATTATAATCTTAGAAACATAAATGAAAATGACTTACATTGTCCACAATTGTATGATGGAAATGTTTAACATGCAATTTCTCCCAACAATTTCTAATGCATCGGGCAAGAAAATGTATAGTGGAACACTGGAATTGTCAATTCCAAACACTCTAACCTCCCATTGTATCCGATACGAGTCTCTTCTTCAACCAGTGGTAATATGGTCAACAACATAGATATGAGATCATCGTCACATTCCGTCATGTCCTCATCAATAATAGGTTATTTTTTATGTTTAGCACGACGCAAGTCCTCCTAAACAAATGATACAAATTAATTAAACATTTATATAATTATAATACTAGAAAAGAGAAAAT